CAAGTCTAACGGCTACCGAACAAGAGGTTGGACCTTCCAGCAGTACCAATTCATTTGCCTCGACCTGCATCCTTGAGCAAGGAGTATAGTATGGGTATCGTAAGGCACAGACCCGATGCACAACGGTTGATTGCGTCCCGAATTATGCGGCCCTGTCCCAAGACATCAGCTCCATGCATAAGTCACTTGAGTAACAGCTGTAACAGTCAAGTCGTGGTTGTTACGAAGCAAGTCAGAAAAGACAAATGTCCTGCTGGAAGATCCTTCGTTTTGCTTCGTCGTGTCTAGAACGTCGCCTCGGCGTGTGGAGGCGGGCACGCTCGGTGTTGAATAGACAACGTGCCGTGATAAGATGATGCTAGCTATCCATGGAGTTGCCATTGTTCGCAATATTTGTGAATGTTCGCAACTATTGCAACTTTGTATAGCATTTGGAAACAATTGCAGGCCTAGAGGCCCTTCCATATGCTGGCGTCGAAATCTTCGGTAAGTCACTGGTCGACGATGATTGGCTCAACGACAGCTGAATCACCTTAAGCTTCACCATACCTACGTCGTCCTCATCATGTCATTGCCGAAATCTGATTGGACTTGATATCATTTAATCACTGTCGCAATCCATGACGAGTGAAGGAAAACGAAGAGAAAGCTAGGTCAGCAGCGCATCAACAGGTTCTTCTTTTAGCAACTTCTGCTTTGACCTTTGCAAAACCCTCAATACCTACAGATCAGATCAAACCATTCTACGAACACTCCGTGGAGTTATTCTATCAGCGTTATCCTTCATTTAGGAGATCGATGCAACCTTGGAAGAGTTGCATCGCGCCCGCACGAGCACCATGAGATGACATGTTGCGCTGCTCGGGAGGCTGGGCGTAAGGAAGAGAGAATTGTGGAACTGGCGTCCCCTACGAATTCACTGAGTCGATCTCAATACGTCTCTCGTCGCTTTCAACTCATGCTTGACGACATCCGCGACAGCAAAAGGACTTCAGCAAGTCGCGATGCATGAACAGCGTCGCGACGTCATGCGCAGGGGTGGGGGCGCTATCGCTCAACATGGCCTACCGTCGGAGTTTCGCCGACCCCGGAAGATCTTGAATTTCCCCATCCTCATTTCTCCACGGAGATTTACCCCTGCGACCATCCAGCCTGCACCTTATAGTCTTCAGGAGCCACAACACATCCGATGACATCTCTAGACGAACTTCCAGACGCTTCATATGGCGATGTGAATGTGCCTGATGACACCGCCAGGTCGAACGCACCTGTCACGAAAAGAGCCTGCGATGCCTGCAAACGTCGCAAAGTCAGGGTGAGACATTGAACGCACATGCAACCGGAAGAAGGCACATCTAGAAACTTCGCTAACACCAGTAGTGCGATGCAATATCTACACCATGTTCAAATTGCCATATCTCTCGATTGGAGTGTGTCTACACAATAGCACCTCAGAAGAGAGGACCAAAGCGCAAACGAGATGCGACCACGCAACCGACCTTCAGAATTTCTGATCATGGATCGATGTCAGCTGCAGCTAGTCAGGCCAACCAACGCGATGTCCGCTCTGGCAATCCCACAATCCAAGTGCAGACCCCGACAAGCAGGTCAAGAGGCGCTTCTTCGAATGCCGCGAGACGCTCACAGTCCTCACCTTACGTGCAACTACAGACGGGGCTTGCACCCCACATCATTGCGGATCAGTTGATCACCTTGTATATGCATTACCTCTTTCCTATAGCACCCACTGTTCACGAACCGTCCATTCGCGCCATGGTCCCCCTCTTGGAAGGTGATGGAGCCCACGGCGTTCTCAATCCCTCATCAGCATCGCAATCACCAGGGCTCGATTCTGGAGATATTGTGTCATCACGTAACCGCACACTCGTGACAGCAATTTGTGCGTGCACGGCTCTCATGCTACCTGCGTCCGTTTTCCCGATGCGGGAAGAGATTGGACGTCAATTCCTTACAGCCTCACGGGAGACGCTGAAGCTACATCAAGATTACGGTTTGTGAAACGTTCTCAACGTTCTGAACGAAGACTTTGGCTGACTTGACATAAATCTTGAAGATATCGAGCAGCCCGACTATACCGCTCTGGTGACGAGATTCTACCATGCCAACGCCTTGCGTGCTATTGGAAAGACGAGGTTAGGCTGGCACGTACTAGGGGAAGCCATACGCCTGACACAAGAAATGCGGCTCTACGAAGAATCTTCATTCGAGAATCTTGACCCAGTGGAGGAACATCTGTTGAAGAACATCTTCTGGCAGATTCATGCTGTCGACAGGTCCGCATCCATCCTGATCAGTCGTCCAATATCGCTTCATCGCCTTTGTGTAGGAGCTAAAATCACCACATCTTACTGGCGCCGTCCGTCATCCGATGCGCCTTTGCTGGACTACTCGACCACTCCAAACGCCCTCGATATAGAGAGCATGGTCAGCCAGGGATTCGATCTTTGCCAAGACCTATGGACGAAAGCATCCGACATAATCATCAAGTTCGACACTCTGGATGTTTGGAACGAAGGCATAACGGATGGCTCTGCGTTGGTTGGCCCTCAACACACGATAGTCATCACCGACTACCTCGAGTTCATCGGCATGATCGATCACTTCCGATTTGATGTCAAGGTGCCGGACACCACGAATACATCTGATCCAGCAACCATGGCCAGGATTCAACGGGCCTTTGACATTCAAAGAGTAAATCTATGCGTCACCTACTACTGTCTGAAGCTAGTGCTGCTCCAAAGATTCTACGATGGCGGAGTAGCTGAGCACTTAGGCGTTCCTGGCCGGGCATACGGGATTGCGTTGAGAAAGATCGATGTCGCCAGTGACATGGTCCGCATACTATCAGAAGCATCCTTCGAGTCCCTTCAAGTAAATGGAGAGCCTTGCGTAGGTTTATTTTCATGTTTATCCAAGCAGTATCACTGACAACATCGCAGGTGCAAATGATTCGACGCATGGGCGCGACTCTACTCAACATTGTACAAGAGACCGATAACACATCCCTGAAGGAACGCGCGAAGTCATTGTTCCTCACCCTCTTGGATGTGCTATCGAGACTGGATTCCCGCGTCTCCCAGGAGCTCGACCATAATCGCGGCTTTTAGACTACTCGCCAGTGTACTCAAGACGTACTATCAGTGTACAGCGCAAATTCACGCTTTCGAAGCGTTCGATGTACGACGCACCCTCGGATCGTATCATGCCCTCCTTTTGTATTGCCACTTCTTGTGCAATGGTACAAACTCGTAATTTCGCCCGTTGAACTTACAAAGAGCCGTCATGGCTTTCGCATGCTGTCCGTAAAACCTCAGCTATACATGAGACTCGGGAAGGTGTAACGTGCCTGTGGTGGCCATCAGCACTGGGGGCGGTAGTTGAGCAAGGGCGGGCACGCGACATCCCCAGTCACTTCTATTGTATGATTCACCATAGCCGGCGTGTACGCAAGACCATTGGCCGGCAACGATCATGGCATCCTAGCAGGAGTGGTGTTGTCGCCCAACCTACGAAACAAGGCCAATTAATCCACCACCAAGTCAAACACATACCCCGCAGTTTGTCGGATATGATTTCCGCGACACGTACGGAAGCGCGCGACTCACCAAGGTCGTATCCAGTGGGTCGATGAGCTCTTCTCATGAAAGCAACACACTGGAGCTGTCGAGGACCCGGACGAAGAGTCCAGCAATATAATGCAAACGACCAAGAATGTCTACCTTGAGACGACCGATCTTGTCTGCGATACAGTCATCGTCAAATGCAGCCATGAGGATACCGACACTTATCGCAGCATTCGGTACTTCCCGATCGCATGCGCTTATCTCAACGGCGCCGTTAGCTGTCGTTCGATTCGAATGATCCAAGGATGCGGGAATAGGATAGGGATGATGCTGCCGACCAAAACAAGCTCCAAACCATAGTTGATCGGAAGCGGGAAGATGAGAAAACATCCGTCCCGAAATAGTCGACCCACCGATCCGAGAGAAACCCGAAGCAACATCTACCAAGCCAACGTTCGTTTTCGCTGCCCAAGATCGCGAAGACCTAGGCTTTCATGATAACGTTTGTGATCCCTGGTCCGTATTGGTGCATTTTTGTCGTGGGCAGTCTCATCATCCGACCCCTCCAACATTAAGCATCATCAGTGTGGTGATGAAAAGCCAGAAAAAAAATCGCTCGCAACCTGAATAATGCGCTAGAACTACATGGAAACGTCGTTGCAGTCGCGATACTTATACTCGCGTCGCGGAGCCACCTACTCGTCTGCACTCGCATCAGCGTTCGAGGTAGCCTAGAATTCCTCCACGGCGAAATGGCGACCCCCGAATCATGCATACGCGCTACTCACGATTTGTCAACTGCCGGGGATTGTGGCTCGCGGATTACAGCCGAATGGGCGGTGGAGCGAGCGACTCCGTTACGCTTTTGGTATAGCGCTCCATATTTCTCCGTGGTGAAACGGAGGCGCAAAACACGGGACGCAGATTTCTCCATGGAGTAATACAGCACGACAGAGTGGGATTCCAACTTAAGGCAGTAGCAATCCAACCCGACACCGAACACCGAATCCACTTTGCTATCAAGCCCGCAATTGGTAATTCTCTCCGATCGGAACCGCTCGACGCGACTCAGTCCACGTCGCGTCATCCTCCGAACTTTGCAAACCTCTCGATCGCTGTCTCGCTGTCTCACTGTGCACACTGAAAGCCTGAAGCATGTTCCGGAATCCCATCATACCTGGCTTCGCTCCTGATCCATCTGTCGTCCTTGTGAACGGAATTTACTATCTCGCAACTTCTTCTTTTCATCTGTTCCCAGGTATTCCGATATATGCATCAACAAATCTACAAGACTGGAAACACATTGGTTCGTTTATGTGCGCATACTGCAAAGATGTGGGCATCGGCTGAAGCGTTCTAGGCAACGCAATCAATAGAACCTCACAACTCGACCTGAGCAATGCTGTTACAGCGGCGATGCCGCTTAACGACGGCAATGTCATGGTAGCATCCGGAGGCCTATTTGCACCCACAATCCGTTATCACAACGGCACCTTCTACATCGTCTGCACCAACTGCTATCCCGAAAGCAACAACTGGCGAACAGACAATTTCCTAATTCACACAAGAGACATCTGGTCGGATGTCTGGAGCGATGCGATACCCTTTGAGTTCTACGGCATTTACCCTTCTCTCTATTTCGATGACGATAATCGCGCCTACATTCAGGGCTCATGGATGATGAACCGCATAAGGGAGCCTACTTGCACGATCAAGCAATTTGAGATCGATGTGAATACCGGACAAGCCTTATCTGAGACCCGAGAAATCTTGGGTGCCTTTCCAGATGGCGATGCCGAAGGCCCCCATATCTACAAGAAAGATGGCTGGTATTACTTACTTGTAGCACAGGGCAGAACGTTCGCACACCACATGCTATCAATGGCACGCTCGAGAGATATATGGGGCCCGTATGAGCGATGTCCGCATAATCCTGTACTGACTGCAGATGGCACGAACGAGTATGTGCAGAATATCGGCCACGGTGAGATCTTCCAAGACGTGAATGGGGAATGGTGGGCGGCAGTTTTAGGTGTACGAGGAGACCAGGAGTCAGCACCGATGGGACGCGAGACCTTTCTCACAACAGTCGAGTGGCCGCAGGATGAATGGCCCACGATAGAGCAGCCACAGATGTCGTTCAGCACACCGCGCACAGTGCAGATGGGTTTCGCCGCTGCACAGTTGCTCAAGAATGTCCGGCAACTCAAGCCTCACATCGACGACGTATACCTGCACAAGCCCCTACGACGACCCTACAAGAAGGCTTCCTCAATAACCCTCACACCCACCACTTCGAGCCTCTCCGCCGCATCAGCACCCCTAGCCCTACTCGCCCGCCGCCAACGAAGCATAACAACCATCGCAACAGCCACCGTCCTCCTCGACAACGAAGCCACCCACTCCAACGCCATCGGCGGCCTAACCATCTACAAAGACCCCCTCCGCCACGCCAGCATCTCCGTCTGCCTCTCCACCCGCCTCATCCACGTCCACTTCGTCGACGCATCCAAAGACTACGAATACACTGCCTCCTACCCCGAACCCGTTTCCCGCTCTTCCACCGCCGTCGACCTCCGCATCATAGCCGCAGAAGAGCGGTATGCGCTCGAGTTCCGCGATCCAGAAAGAGATAGGCGGTGGAACCAGGTCGATGTGGTAGATACGAGGATGTTGAGTGCGAGGGATTTTACGGGCACGGTTATTGGTATCTTTGCGCTGACGGATGGGAATGCGACGCCGAGTGTTAGTCCGAGGGATGGATGTGATAGTGGGAGCGATGTTACGGATCAGAAGGTTACGTTTCGGGATTTTGAGGTCAGGCGGTAGATGGACGATGGATGGATGTGGTAATATTAATCGGCGCACGATGGATGGCGCAGAAACGGACGGTGGAGTTCTTAGTTTGGGTTGAGGGCGTCGGTCGTGTCTGGGGTTGATCGTTTATCTTGTTTGTTTGGATGATGGCGCTGGCGTCTTGGGGGTTACCTGCTATCTTGGCTGATTGGATTGGAGCGATGGGTTTCTTGTTTGGATAGGCATTTGCAAGGTTTGGCACGGTGATCTTGGTAGTCTTTTGGTATGCATGCTGCATGATGGAATGATTAATCCGCGCATGGTTCGGCTATCTTAATGCATTTTGTATGATGTAGTAAAGCATCAAGTTCACACGAACTGTTGATCTTCACGTATTCCATGTCTGATGTCACTGTCCTGTACGCGCCCCACGTGCCCCACATCCAGATCAGCTCCACCAATACTAATTGCGCGAATCTGTGGTCGTGGATACAGTCAGTATATCCGCCAGAGTATTCTTTGGGTCTTGGTAGACGTCGGCCTCAAGGAAGTCCCTCGCGATCTGCTCCTACGTCCGCATTAGATGTTGTTTCCGAATACTCGGTGACACGTACCGCTTCCTCGAGTTCTGCAGCTTCATCTTCGGGCATCTGACAGCATGCGGCTACCAGGTCTTCACCCCGAACGGAAAGAAGGATGAGGTTTTCTGCGCGCTGGATGATCTCGGGCGGTACACCGTTCATTGCGGCACAGCTGTTCTGGAGTTAGGAATTGCTAGTAGTGGCGATAGCTACCAACTCACCATGTGCCGAAGCTTGAGGTACTTCGACCTTCGCGAAAGCTGAATGCTGTCAGTATATTCCAACTCTTAGCATCTTAGTGAACTCACTTGTAGAGATACGTTATCTGCTCGTTGACTTCCGACGCTTCGGCATCAATGCGCACTTCCATGTGCCCGAACGCAAGAGCGGGCCTCGGCTTAAGCAAGTTCATCTCAAAGATTTCTGGTGACATTAGCAGCTGATTCATGCGAATATCAAGCTCACATACCATGGAAATGCGTAGCGCCAATGACCTTTGGTCGCTCTGAACCCAAACTCAACAGATATTCCATGACTGCGCATGCCAGACCAGCGCCATCGCTCGACTCTGTCCCCTTGCCGAACTCATCGATGATGAGCAAGCTGCGGCGCGTCGCCAAACTCAGCGCGAGTGAAATCTGCTGAAGGTCTATCATGAAAGCGCTTTGAACACGAGACACCGTCTCGCGCGTCGTGACCCTGGAAAGAATCTTGTCCGTCAACCCAATCTTTGCGCTATCTGCTGGAACGCAGCATCCAACGTGGGCCATGTATACGATGAGCGCTACCTGCTTCAGGTACACACTCTTTCCTGAGTAGTTGGGCCCAGTCAATACAAGCATGCTTGCGCTATCTTTATGCGCATAGGTATAGCGACTTGCAGAGCTCGTAATCGGTTGGGTACCGGTACCATAGCTATCATCGGCGTCTTCCTCCGAAGCTCCATCGCCCTCCCCGCCTCTTAGAGTCGTATCGTTCGCGACGAAGGATGATACTGTGAGCTCTTGCAGGATATGGCTAGACTGAAGTCAGTAGCTGCATGCCGCGTCCACGATGAGTAGACTCACCGGCCTCCCTTGATACGTATGACATTGTCGTGGGTCATTCGAGGGCGACAAAGCTTGTAGATTTTCGCACCTTGTGCTAATGCCAGGAGGCTGTCAAGCTCTCCGCATACGTCTGAACAGGATGTCAGTAGCTCTTCATATTGCAGCAGATACTGCGCGAGCTCATGGCTGATCTCAATCTCGCGATCCGAGATGATGCCGTACACGTCACCGAAGTGATCATCCATCTCACGAGTTTCGCTGTTCTTGAAGTAGACCTGCTCTTCAGTGGCAAACATTCTCTCCCATGGACTGTCGAAGGTGCCTTGATAAACGGCATCACCACTCAGTTCATTGACGGGAGTGGTGCAGAGAAACCCGATTTGCGGGAAGTAGATGACGTTGAGAGTGGCGCCTAATCTGGTCAGCTCTTGATTCGGTGTAACCCCAAGGTAGCAGAAACTGAGATAGACAGGAACAGTGTGACTTACGGATGTCAGACGGCATCTTCTCAGACAGCTTCCGCGCTACTCGGTTGAGGAAGTCGTCAAGACTGTCCAGAGTCCTTTTCATCTGATCCAGCTCGTCGTCAACGCCGGGCATGATGACAGTCCGACCTTCTTCTGCCGAACTGGCCAAGTCGATGGTCTCGCTGATTTTCCTTCCGATCTGAGCTAAATGGTAACCTTCGAATTTCTCGAAGACCTGCAAATGTCAATATCGCAATCGTATGAACCGCCACAGTCTATTGGCACAGTCTCGTGGTGATCATCAGGCTAGTGATTGTATGTACCTTGTTCCTGATAGCCAAAGTTTCACCGCCAAGAATATCCTGTAATGTGTCTTTGATCTTGAGGGCATGGAATGCAAACTACCACGATCAGTCTGATGACGTACGATGGTGGGTATTGCGAGACGTACCGCTCTTATGGATGTCCATATGCTCTTGGAAAAGCCTCCGCCTGCTTTCGTTGAGCCGCCCACGCCCTTTCTCAGGTTGACCATCATAGCACGCATGTTGCTGATGTTCTTCAAGTTCTGCACGAGTGCTTGGAGGGCGGGATCGTTGTCCGGTCGAACGAAGACCCCTATCGTGCTCAGCCTCTCGTTGATGATATCGATGTTGAGACTAGGGCGCAGGAACTGTTGCCGAAGCAGAAACCTTCCTTGTGGTGTTCGAGCGAGATGGTGGAATAGCCCATACACGGAGAGCCCTTCCTTTTCGCCGGAGCTGGCTTTGGTTGGCCCTTTGTTATGCGAGTGCGGATGTGACTCAGCACCCATAATCTGCAAAGAATGAAGTGTATCTGCGTTAATGAACATAGTCTCTCGAAGACTGAACATCTCTAGTGTCGTGATGCGGAACATCAGGTAAGCTGAGCGATCGCCAGGAAGATACGCTGCAGCGCGTCTGCGTTGAAGATACGATATAAGAGCTCCAGCGCAGCCGACCTGTGCAGTATTAGCGAGGCATCTTCCACGGGAAGTGCGAGAATACCGTCGAACGGCTGTCAAGGTCGATCCATCCTGCTAGCCGGAGTAGTTGTCCTTGCTGGCCCAACGTGCCTTCCTCATCCAGATGGTTCATTGATGCAAGCTCTCCTGGGATGTTGAAATTGACACGAGTACCAGACTCGTCACCCAGGCGAAGGCTGACAAGCTTGTTCTTTGCAGCATCGTAGGAGAACTCATTGGGCGGTCTCACTTCTAGCAGGAATGGAAGGCGAAATTGGTCGTTGTCGCTACTTGCGCAGTCGCTCCTGGCTTCTGGATCGAACCGTTCGATGACTTTGTCGTCAATCTTCGTCGATACTAGGATCACGGTGGGCTCGATGAATGTTCTCACTGCGCCCTGGTTAACATGGGGTCTAGGCATCAAGATAGCAAGAACCCACGGGAGTCAATGACATCAACGTCGCCGCACTGTATGTCCTCCATGAAGAACAGCTTCTCGTCTCTTGCCACGTAATAGCAACATCCTACTGTACCACGTGGTGTCATATCAACGGCCATGATGACCTCGATCAATGTGTCGTCGTTTTCTTCGGCATTGCGACTCTCGGAAGGTGTGTCCACTGAGGTATCCGGAAACGGTCCTCGCTCAACGCCTCCACGCGATCTGCTCGGCCCTGCAGGCACGCTTGAAGCAGAGCGCGTGGACGATGCATGCGAGTTGCTAGTGGAGGTGGGTGTGCGGCGGTTCTGACTACTGCGATTTCCGCGCGAGGTAGCACTGCTGCGACTACCCCGATTCCGGTATGAAGAGTTGCGCGCCATCGCGGCGACCGAGAATGATGACTTTGATGGGGTTGAGTGTCGGTGAGGTGAGAGAATACCAAGCTGTGTGGGTTGGGATGAAAGAGGAAGTCGCGCATGGCAGCTTACGCGACGCATGCCTGCCGCGGGATACTGAATCAAAGAAGAGAATCTCGTGCATTGGTGCAATCTACAGAGAGGAAATGTTCTACCTACAAACGCCGTTGATGCTAGATTATGTACATGCAATAGTACAGTTTACAGTCTGTTATACAGTCATATCGTCGTTAGTCATACTGTTTTCATGCGGCAGCAACGGTGAGACCTGTGCCTTCCGCGTTAATGGCGACCTTGGCCGTGTCTCCGCTGCGAATCTCTCCACGAATTATCCTATCCGCGAGGCTATTGCCGATCTCACGTGCAATGAGCCTGTTTAGCGGTCGAGCACCGAACTTCGGGTCGTATCCCCTGTCGCATAGCCATTGCTTGGCCTCATCCGGACATTGTAGCACGATCCTGCGGTCGTCCAGTCGCTGCTGCAGTTCCTTGAGACGGATGTCCACAATATCCCTGAGCGCTTCGCGTGACAGACGGCGGAAAATGATGAATTCGTCGAGACGATTGAGGAACTCCGGTGGATATGTGGCGGACACTACATCCATCACAGCGCTGCGTACTGCGGGTGAGATCTCACTAGATTCCTTTCCAGCCGAATCCAGCACGTCGTCACCAACGATAATATCAGCACCCAGATTCGATGTCATGACGATGATGGTGTTGCGGAAGTCGACCTTGTGTCCCTGGGCGTCTGTGAGGAAGCCTTCGTCAAGTACCTGCAGAAGAAGCGTGGAAATATCCTTGTGAGCCTTCTCCCATTCATCGAACAAGAGGACCGCGTAGGGCTTTCGTCGGACAGCTTCGGTAAGCTGGCCAGCGTCCTCGTATCCAACATAGCCTGCAGGTGAGCCAATGAGGCGGGAGACCGTGTGCTTCTCACTGAACTCGCTCATGTCGAATCGAATGACAGCCTGGGGAGTGCTGAACAGATACTCCGCCAGCCTCTTGCAGACTTCGGTCTTTCCTACACCAGTCGGTCCCAACATCATGAAGGAAGCGATGGGCCTGTTCTCGCCGGACAAGCCAGCTCTCTGCAGACGAATGGCGTTTGCAACCGACTTCAATGCTTCGTCTTGGCCCTTGACGTATTGCCGTAGGGTGTCTTCCATGTGTATAAGCTTCTCACTCTCGCCAGAGTTGAGTTTGGAGAGCGGGATGCCGGTCGTGCGTGAAACCACGGATGCGATGTCGTCGGCAGTGACAGAGTCGTGTAGCAATGAGCCCTGTCGGTTGGCGCCTGCGGTGACCTCCTCGTCTCTTGGGAGCTTCTGCTCCAACTCGGGGATCCTACTGTACTGAAGCTCACCGGCTTTGGCGAAGTTACCCTCTCGACGGGCTTGTTCGAGCTCGAGCTTTGCCCTTTCGAGGTTCTCTTGCGCGTTCTTGATTTCGTCAAGCTCGGCTCGCTCCTTCTCCCATTTCTCGGTCAAGCCCTTGACTTCCTCTTGCTTTTGTTTCAGAGATTCCTCGAGGCGTTCACGGCGCTCTTTACTGGCAATGTCTGTCTCCTTCCGCAGCGATTCCAGCTCGATTTGTATGGTCATGATTTGACGGTCTAGTTCTTGAATGGCATCGGGTTTGCTCTCTTGCTGGAGGCGCAGGGCACTCGCGGCTTCGTCTACCAAATCGATGGCCTTGTCGGGAAGGAAACGGTCGGTGATGTAACGGTTGCTGTATGCAGCGGCGGCGACTAGGGCGTTGTCAGTAATACGGACTCCGTGGTGAACCTCGTATCGCTCCTTGATGCCGCGCAATATGGAGATTGTATCTTGCACGGTCGGCTCGCCAACTAGAATTGGCTGGAATCGTCTCGCAAGCGCCGCATCCTTCTCGATCTGTCGGTATTCGTTGAGTGTTGTTGCCCCACAGAGTTGTAGCTCTCCACGGCTGAGGGCGGGCTTCAGAAGGTTGCTAGCATCGATGCTGCCCTCTGCCTTGCCCAGACCCAGCAACGTGTGTAGTTCATCCACGAATAGTATGACACCCTTCTTCGCCTCTTCAACCTCCTTCAAGACGCTCTTGAGGCGCTCTTCAAAATCTCCGCGGAACTTTGCGCCGGCAATGAGGGATCCGAGGTCTAGAGATATGACGCGCTTGTCTTTGATGGATTCTGGCACGTCACCTTTGACGATTCGCTGGGCTAGGCCCTCAAGGATGGCAGTCTTTCCTGTTCCCGCTGAGCCGATCAGGACGGGGTTGTTCTTCGTTCGTCTCGATAGAATCTGTATGGTACGTTGGATCTCGCCGTCTCGTCCGATGACAGGATCCAGCTTGCCGTCACGCGCTCGTTCGGTAAGGTCCACACCGTATTGTTCCAACGCAGGCTTTTCCGGTTCGCCACCCAGGTTCATGCGATGTGTTCCACCTGGAGGGTGTGGTCGGCCTCCATTGGTGGCATAGCTTCGTGACGATACGAGTGGTCTTAGGAATTTCTGCTGCTGAGGCAATCGTATCGCGGAAGCGTTGAGACATGATGGTGATGTGCGGATGGGAAGCGATCGTGAGGTCGAGGGGGAGGCGATGCGCCTCGCGGCTATGCGTGCTCTACTGGTCAGCATGACGATGTCGGAGTCAAAAAGCAAGCAAAAGTCAGTTTGGAGAAGATGGAGATGGTATCATTATATTCGTGACGGATGGCGGGAGCACAGGCTTCGGCGAAGATGCGCGGTGGTTCGATAGAATTCTACGCGTCTACGAGCAATCACTCCAGGCTTCCAGCATCCACGACCAGAACGAGAAAGCCGAGGTGGATAGACGACACTCGGTTCGCGTGAGAATGATGTGCAAGATCTAGATGCATAAAGGTTGGCACGAGTATGACTTGGTTGACTCTTCGTGTTCGTGACTGTCGCGGGCAGGGAGGGGCACGTGCTAGCGCCAAGGCTAGCGCGTTTTTCGCAGTGCAATTTCCTCCAGCCTCCATCAAAAACTGCAGCCGTCCCTCTTTCTCTCAACACAACACCTTTGATTCTCCCATACCATACTCGCAACCACATCTGCAACTATGGGTTTCACCGATCTCGTTTCCGAAGCAGGCCTGACTCTCCTGAACAACTATGTCAAGACCCGCAGCTACATTGTTGGGTAAGTTCCTACCCCGCCATACAACTCCACCCGCTTTGTACCTCCCCTGCATTGCGTCGCACCCCCCAAGTTTTCATGATGAGAACAATTGGTCCGTGTTAATGAGGCGGCTTAAGACCCCGCTATCTGAATACAAAACCACGCGCTTGTCGCAACTCTGATCTATCTTCCCTCCTTCTGCCTCTTATCCAGACACCATGAAGGAGTCACTGGCTAACATGCCCCAGCTACTCCCCATCGCAGGCCGATGTAAAGGTCTACCAGCAAATCAAGCAGATCCCCGCGCCTGAGAAGTACCCATACGCATGGCGCTGGTACAACCACATGCTCACCTTCGAGGGCGAGTTCGACTCCCTCCCTGGTGACCCAACCAAGGACTTCACCGCCTACGGCCCCGAGTCCTCCGAGCTCACCCTCAACCCCGCCAAGGCACCTGAGAAGGAGGCTGAGGACGACGATGACGAGGTCGACCTGTTCGGCAGTGATGACGAGGAGGAGGACGCCGAGGCTGCCAGGATCAAGGAGGAGCGTCTGGCCGAGTACAACAAGAAGAAGGCCGGCAAGGTCAAGCCTGCTGCCAAGTCTATCGTCACTATGGACGTTAAGCCATGGGGTATGTGTCTTCCCATATCTGCCAATGGGCTTGCATGCTAACGCTGTTCAGATGACGAGACAAACATGGACGAGCTCAAGGCGAACGTTCTTTCCATCGAGAAGGAGGGTCTCGTCTGGGGTGCCTCCCAGCTTGTTGCTGTCGGTTTCGGTATCAAGAAGCTCCAGATCAACTTGGTCGTCGAGGACGACAAGGTCTCGCTCGACGAGCTCCAGCAACAGATCGAAGAGTTCGAGGACCATGTCCAGTCCACCGACATCGTCGCCATGCAGAAGTTGTAGATACTTCTTGTTGACGCGCCCTTTTTATGACCTTTTGATGAAGACTATGCATGATCATGACGGACGGTTTCACGTCTTTATGAGCAGTTGCTAGACGAATACCAAAAATCACGACATGGTAGAGATACCACCTCCCACTGCGGGACAACAACATATCTTGTCTTACATGCATTTGTGACTTGTTGAATCACATAGGAGAGGCGTGAACGTGGTAACGGTAAGCCTGATCAGTATGTGGCTCATATAGGTACTGCCCAAGTCGAGTAGTAACGGTAGGTGGGCTAGCGCAATGACACGTCTTGGAACTTGGGCCGCGACGCGGAGAATGGCGGGCTGCCAAACCTCGACATGAACGACTGTTACGTGGACTGCCTGCCATCGATGGACAAAGTCCGACTCGGGAGCATGCCCCCTATATACAAAGCATTAGAGAAGGCTTGGCTCGCTGCTTTCTTAGTCATGGTCGATGTGCCTTCGGGGGTTCCACGGCGCCATGATGTCCAACCATCGATCAACACCAACCACACAACGCGCCCCAAACGCCGTGATCAGCACCATCAGTCTGTGGGATTCCCAACAGTTGAGGATATAAAGTAGCATAGGATTTATACGAAACATTGGCAACATTCCTTATGACTCGCAAGACTCGCATAATCCGCTCTGGCGAATAACAATGTCTCTTTCGTCGGTGCATTTTTATATCCCCGATGCTCGCGCTCTGGGATCAGCATTGTTGTGGAGTTCGGCGCGGAGGAACGGACGTTCAACATACTACTATACTGACCGCTAAACATGTGTGAAGAATGAAATATGTATAGCATGGGATCGCAGTATCCGTTGTTGCACTGGACTCGTTGTAGTCATTTTGGACGACAAACGACCGCTACACGCAGAAGATGGCGCAGCGAGATCCTAGCCCAGACAGCTTCGCACATGTCCAGGCCGGAGTTCTAGAGAGAGACAACGAGAAGGACGGTGGTGTACTGTGTACCGGATCTTCATCAAGCACAGCGGCCACTTCAACCTCACGTACCTCCCCATCCCAGACAAATCCTCAGACCGACGTCGAAGCCCTCCGCCACGATGTCTCTTCCTTGAACCGCGTCCACACGTCGAAGAGCCAGCATTCGCAAACAGTCGGCGAAGGCGCCCGTGGTGGCCTCGGTATCTTCCGCAGCAGGTCTACGCGTTCTCGCCCACTACCAGCGTTCGGCGCAGGGAAACCGTATCCTCCTCCTCTAGGCAACCAGGAAGACTATGTCGTCGAGTTCGATGGAGAAGATGACCCGTTGCATGCGCAGAATTGGGCGTTGGGGAAGAAGTTGTGTACTGCGCTTATGCTGGTAAGTCGAATATCGCATCGAGAAACGCGGTAGGCTTTATGTCATGGATTTAGACTGACCTGGTGTGCCATGCGGATAGGGATTTACGACAGTCACAGCTTCATTCGCTAGTTCGATATTCAGTACCGCGACGAGAGCTATCGAGCTACAGTTCAATGTCGGCTACGTGGTCGCTACGCTGGGCACCTCGTTGTACATCCTAGGCTTCGCGACGGGACCCGTTCTCTGGGCGCCTTTCTCGGAGCTCAAAGGAAGGAGATTGCCGCTTGTGGTGGCATCGTTTGGCTTCTCGGTCTTCAACATTGCGTGCGCGACAGCGAAGGATTTGCAGACCATCTTGATCTGTAGGTTCTTCGCGGGGTTCTTTGGCGCGTGTCCGATTACCGTAAGCATTTGTGCGAAATCTCCATGGATGTGGCAAAGGTGCTGATATGGACATAGATTGTTGCAGCAGTCTTCGCCGACATGTTCGCCAATAGGACGCGTGGAATAGCAATCTGTCTGTTCAGCGTAATGGTCTTCACAGGTCCCTTCCTCGCTCCTTTCATCGGCGGCTTCATAGTCATGTCGAATTCCTGGCGATGGACTCAATACCTTGTGTAAGCACTGCCTGTGTCCCCAATATCAGGAACAAATACGCTGACCATCTTGCTATAGGTCCTTCATGGGTTTCGCCTCCTTCACCCTCATGCTCCTCTTCCTCGACGAATCCTACCCACCCATCATCCTCGTCGCCAAAGCCGCCGAACTGCGCCGCCGCACGAAGAACTGGGGCATCCACGCCAAGCAAGAAGAGATCGAAGTTGATTTCCGCGAACTTATCGAGAAGAACTTTTCGAGGCCGCTTAGGATGCTGGTTACGGAACGTATTGTGCTGCTGCTCAGCATCTACATCGCTTTCATCTACGGATTGCTCTATCTCTTCCTCACAGCATACCCGATAGTATTCCAGGGCGTCCATGGTATGAACCCGGGTATAGGTGGTCTGCCGTTCTTTGGAATGATCATTGGGGAGTTGTTCGCTGGCGTGTTTATCTTTGCGAGGCAGCCGGGGTACCAGAAGAAGCTTGCTGCTAACAACAATGTTCCCATCCCGGAGTGGCGGTTACCGGAGGTTATCGTGGGTGGTGTTGCCTTTGCGGGAGGTTTATTCTGGTTCGGATGGACCGGATATCGCGCGGACATCCACTGGATCGTGCCTACGTGCTCTGGATTGCTAATCGGATTCGGCATCATGAGCATCTTTTTGCAGTCGTTCAACTATATCATCGACGCTTATCTCATGGTAAGAAGAGCTCGCATCCCCGTAATTCGAGATTCTTGCTAACATCTCGCCTAGTTCGCCGCTTCGGCGATCGCAGCGAATACGTTCCTTCGTAGCATATGGGGAGCAGCGTTTCCTCTCTTCGCGAAAGAGATGTTCGAGGGTATGGGCGTTGAATGGGCTTCGACTCTACTTGGATGTTTCGCTGCTGCGATGATACCTGTGCCAGTTTGGTTTTACCTCCAAGGTGCGAAGATCAGAGGTAAGAGCGCGTATGCGCCGACGAGTAAGCCGGCGTCCGCGCCTTCGGAGGAGTGAAATGGACGAGATGCGCAACAGATGTATCAGCACTGCTAGATAGTTTGCACCACCGCATGCAACTTAGCGATAGCCAATTTATACAAACATCCTTGACCCTGAACAAAGGTGTAGATCAAGAACTGGAAAATTAGCCGATGAAGTTGAGATCCGCCAACATCCGCCTCCACGCTACGCACCACGCCGGCGGACCCTTCCTGCACGCCCGCCTCTCCCCTGCGCAAGCGCCCTCGCACCTAAAAACGCCTGCAAACTCCACTTTCTTCTCATCCTCAACGCATAACCCACCACCATCGTCCAACCATGGAATATCCTACCCCGCATCTCTAACTGGCCCAGCACCTGTCGCAGATTGCGCGCTTACGCCACAGATGTCAACGGGCAAAGATCGGCTATTGGCCGGCATTACCGCCTTGTTTCACGCTGTCGATCTTTTTACCCCTGGGATGGTGGATGGTAATGGGAATGGCGGATTTGGCGGATTCGCCTACATGCCTTAAATTAGATGGGAGATGCGATGGAGGGAGGGATCCTGGTAGGGTATGATGACATTGTGTGAGGCTGTGCTGAGGGTCTTGCTTTCTGTTACTTTCACTTTCGCTCTCGGTCTCTTGTTGGTTTCCTGGTGAACTTGCGCGATACGGGTCGACTCGACTCTTTCTTTAACGGCATTCTGTTTGTTGCGCGCATTTGCGACTTTGCGACTGCGATTTGAACTTCGCGACACCACAACACGACTCCGCGCATGCTGGCCTGACGCGCTTACACTTCTTCGACACCACCACAACCACCCGAACAGAGAAGAGCGAAGACACCACCATGGCGTTCAACTGTTCCACCGTCCCCGAGACGACAAACACCGACGCGGGAGTAGCAGGTGCAGGCGTACGTCCCCCTCCTCCCAATCCTCCTCTCCTCCCGACTAACACCAACCCCCCAGACCCTCCTCTCCTTCATAATAACCAACATCCTCTCCATCCTCCTCTCCGCCACCATAATCCTGCTCGGCCTCCGAAAATCCACCTCCGCCCCCATCAGCCGCAAACTGTTGCAATCCTTCTCCGACCAACAAATCCTAACAGGCATCGGCATCCAATCCGTCGGCCTCGCAAAGATGAAAACAATGGTACCCTACCACTTCTTCATCATCTGGCTCCTCTCCCTCCTCTCCACCGCTACAAACCTCGCCACCCTCCTCGCCCTCGTCAACGACTTCAAGCGCGACTGGGTGCTACGCTGGATCCGGCAGATCCTCATGTTGGTAAACATGTTCCTGGGCATCCTCTCGGGGGTCTTCATCCTGCAGACGGTGATGAAAGACATGGAGCCCAGACTACCCATTGCATGTGTATGGGAAGTGGAAAGCAAAGGCCGGAGCGGAAACGCCGCGCTCTCCATCGCCGGCACCATCGCCGTCATCGCAGGCCAAGTCCTAACCTTCGGCTTCGCAACATGGTACCTGCACAACCGCTCAAACCCCAAATGGCTCAAAACCGTGCAAGTCGTCGGTCTCTTCGCGTGTCTCGCCATGGGCGTCGGGGCAACCATACGCGTCGTTCTCGAGTCCCAGGCTTTCGGTCATCCACCGCAGTCCGTTCATCTCGTGGGCCCTTCTGAGGGCAACTGGAGTTTCGGGCAGTTGCTACCGTTGCTGTTGTTGGCGTTGCCGGTGATTAGTACGATTGAGATTGCGAGGGGGGAGGAGATGAAGCCGAGGAGTAGGGTTGATGATGATAGTGTGCCGCTTTTTGCGCAAGGGGGCGGGAATGATATGGAGTTTCAGCCTAATCCGTTGGTGGGGAGTCAGACGAGTTTGTTTAGGAAGTAGAGGGGGTTGGGTGGGAGGTGCTCTAGATGTTTGTGTGGAGTTTTGGATAGATACCGTGCGAGTGAGATTCAAATAACTTTATTTCGAAATCTTAGGCACGTTCAATTTGCACTGCGATATCTTGTGACAAGCGACCCTTGCTAATTTCATTTGAAATATGCAGCTGCACCCGCGGACAGATAGCCTTCCGTTTCGCCACCAAGAATGTTCTACAATTACGTGAATATCCACTCCTTTCCCGACCACAAAAAAGGCGATCCCGTTCTTCCCAGCAACGCCAATGGACGCCTGACGTACATGTTGCCTAACCCTCAAGCCACCTTGTGTCGCCATAGTGATGCTTTTAGTACAAAAGGAGAAGTGAATCAACAAATGAGAGAAGAAAGCTACATATCCGTGATCATAGCTTGGTCATCTTGACGCTGGCCTTCAGCCACGATACCAAGAAGACGCGCGTAGGGCACTGTTATACGCTGGAGGTCGCGGTGTTTTCCTGCGTGAGAAGTTAGTATACTGGGTTCGCCATGTCGTAGAAAGGACGAGAAACTTACCTAGGATTAACACAGCTTCCTTGAGCAACTCTTCCCTCTTCCAGCCACAAATCTCCTCGGGCTCCTTCATCGCTTCGTCTTGCTCGTCGTTGCCTTCTTCCTCTTCTGATACCAGACTACCCATAAGACTGCGTAGGAGCTCCTCGATCTTTCCTTTTAGTCCTTCGGCACCGAGACGCTTGACGTACATGGTGAGGTAGATCTTGAACTCTTCCCTCGCACCCAGTGTACGGGCAGCAGCGACACGGTTCTCAAGATGAGCAACACTGGCCGAGCTCTCAAACGTCTCGTAGCCTTCTGCAGAAACGAGGATCTTGATGAGGCGCTGGAGGTGGAAGGCGCGGCCTTGGAGGAGGGATTGGTTTGTTGTGTTGCGCTCGAGCGCGGGGATGATGCCTGCTGAGATGTTTTCCATGGAGACCTGATCGTCTTTTTCTTTGGGTGCGGCGTTCTTGTCTTTTGAGGAGCGGATGTTACCGACGGAGGAATCGGTGGAGTTCCAGTACTGACTTGTGACGCCCCACCATGGTTCAGATATGCGTTGCCAGATGTACATGTCGGGGTTGTAGGCGTAGCCCTCGCCGTTGGACATGGCTACTGTGATGCGGCCGGCTGAGTTGAGACGTGCGAAGACGATACCGGGGGATCGAGTGAGGTGGGGTCCTTGGGCGTAAGCTGCTACGTCGAGGATGGGTGCTAGGGAGATGGGTGGGTGGGGTGCAGACATCGTTTTGAGATTCCAGACATAGCACATGCCAACTGCTGTTATGCACATTAGCCACCAGCCGCGGCAGTCCATGATCACTGGTTGAGCTTCTAGAACCATGGCGTTGAGCGTCCGTCGGCCGGCTGGCGTCCATGCGTATACCGATCCATCTTCGCATGCTGCCGCGAATAAGTTCGTGTTGCCAGTCACCAAGAGCACGGCCTTTGGTAAAAAGTCTTGCCAAAGTGACTGGCCTTTGCTGGTGCATGTCAACCGCGTAGGGTCGTGGTCTTGTGGCCGTCCCGTCCGCGATGGTCCGCTGGCATTACGCGCTTCTAGAACGACCGTGTCTGGTATTTCTGCTTTGCCTGTGTTGGCATCGACACCACTCTGCGGTGGCTCGCTGCCGTCCATAGTTCGCACGATGACGCTTCTCACTTTCGGCACGGCTAACCGCACTTGGGCAAGGGCCATAGAAGGGTTGACGATGGCCGGTCTGAGGACTTTCGGAGGCTCTGTCATTTCGTTGTTCTTAGCAGCTGCAGCAGCGGGAGGGACAAGACCATTTTCACTGTTTATCACGATTGCTGCGCCTCCAGGCTTCACCGAACCAGCCAGTCTTTTCTCCACTTGCCGGTCCTCATCGCCTTCGATTTCGGCGAATTTTCGCTTGTTCCCGATCAGCATGGTTGCAAGTCCGCCTCTCGGGAAACCATCGTAGGGCTTTGAAAGATCTAGAATGTTGTGGGGATTGTCACTCCTGCCGCCTGACGTTGTCGTCGCAGAAAGGAGCTGTGTTTGAGGCAACGAAGACTCGCCAACACCGGACGAGGATGACATGAGCATAGGTGCTATACGCTTCTTGCCATCCTTGGTGACAGTCACTCTTTGCTTGAGCTTCTCCACCCTCACGTCTGGGGGTGGCTCAGCCGGGGCCTGTGGTGGTGCTGCGGCGCCCGATCCGTTTGTGAGAGTTGCCGAGGGAGTGACGCCGTTGGTGCCGTTCGTAATAGTCGGTGGTTGAACTGCACCTCCGTCGCCCATTAATGCACCCATCCTGCCTTGTACACCTTTCAGCTCCCCACTCTTACTGCTCTCTTCCAGAAGTAGCGCGTCTGTGCCCTCGATGATACCAACTCTTCTTCCGGCACCGAACTTAGCGAGTGTCTTTTCGTTCTCCGCAAATGTCGCTGGGTAGCCGAGTTCTCCGGGTTCGAAAACAAGAGTCATTATGCTGCCGTCCAAGCTCGTTGCGTATAGCGTCTCTCCGTTTGGTGACCATGCCAAGTCGGAGATAGATTTGCTAGCCAACTCTTGCGAGCACATGAACGGCCTGGGGAAGCTCGTATTCCACACACTCAGGCATTTGTCTTGTCCGGCGCAAGCGACAATGGTAACCGTCTGCTGGTTAATGGTGCCGTCTTTCTCAGGCCGTGGCTCATCGCGGTAGAACAGCCTTGGAGAGAACGAGGTTACTTCAACAGGCCCTTCGTGGCCGACCAGACTGATATCTCCATCCCACGTTCCACGCGCAAGAATAGCGACGGAGCTGACTGGTCCATTTGTAGCGTTTGCAGCAGCGATGTGTGCGCCGTCGGGTGACCACGAGCAGCGGCGGAAGTATGTGGTGAGCGGGGAGGTTTGGAAGGGTGCGGTTATGGTGTGGTCCAGGACGAAGTTGTTGACCTGATCTTGCTGCGAGGCGTTCGGGGGCGGGGAGTTGAATCGATAGACTTTGATGGTGCGGTCATCGCTAGCTGTAGCGAAGTATTTGTTGGCGGGGTCAAATGTTATGCCCTTGACGTGACTCTGGTGGTTTGATAGCGTCTTCAGCTTTTCAAAAGAATGCCCAGACCAGACTACCACTTTCGAGTCCAACCCCACCGATACCAAGATTGACGAGTCAAATGACCAGCCCAGATCTTGTACGTCGTTGTCGTGTCCTATGAGGCGACGAATGACGCGCCAATTCTCGACGGGCGGCGGTTCGTTGGATCCTGGAATGCTATCAGCCTACGTCTCTTGTACCTGCCTAACGTGTACCCACCAAACGCCGTATGCGTCGGCGCATTCTTATCGAGCGCATAGACACACACTATCTTGTCATCTGCGCCAGACGCCAGGTATTTGCCGTTGGAAGAGAAGCGGACCGCATGGATGGTGCCGGAATGGTTGCTGACAGCCGCGAGCTGCTTCGGCTTCGTATACGAGGGGTCGTTGGAATTCAGGATGGCCTCGGTAGACCAGACACGTACATAGCCGTCTATAGATGCGTGTTAGCAATATTCTGAGGTGCAGCGCATCGCGTGGGAATCGAGGGTGGGTTGACGAACCTCCGGCGGCCGTGGCCAGGCGCGATCCATCAGGAGAAACGTGGCAGCTGTATACTTCAAAGTCTTTCTGTTCGCCTAGTAGGAATGCATGTCAGCAAGATGCTAGCAGAAAAGGGCATGCATGCGCGGGTGCACCCACCGGGATGAGTTAACCACTGTGGTTTAATGAGATGCATGGTCGCGTAGGTGTCGCTAGCAGTTGAATCATGCTATTACGCGACCATGAAAGGAGTATTGGGAGAGCTCTGTGCGGTGGTGGAGGGTTGGTGGTTGAGGCGCACGTTGTGGTGCAGCGCGACAGTTGTCTGGTGTCGGCGACGCGATCTCGCGGTTGACGCTACTTGGCAGACGTTTGGGCAGGGGTTTAAGGTTTAGGTGCATGCGCCGATCGGGAAGTGGACGTTAAACGAGCGGCTCATGGTTGAGGGAATCAAACATCAAGTGTATTTAGAGTATGGCATGTGTTTGTGATAATATAGTGAACTTGGTGTTCCTTCACCTTGGTCCTTCTGATTCCCTGGGAGGCAGCCCTGGAGAAGGCTCAAGTGCTACTTGGACTCTCCGCTCCGCAATTGGTTGCTCCTTGACAAAGACACCTGAAAACAGTACTAGACTAGCTACATGCAGCTCTTCCATAATCAGCTTGTTCATCCGGGTAGTCATTTGGACCCTGGTGGTGGATGGTCATGATATCGTGCTGCATGCGCATGCCCATCCTCACCAGCAAAACTCATTCCAAATTTCCCTGGCTTATTGCGAAAGTCCACTCTCGACTGTAGCCCAAGTTGGAGCTGAAATAGGCGAGGTTCGGGAAGACATCGGTAGCAGCGTGAGCGGTTGGTGCAGATGTTGTGGGTTGTGTCGCTGGTTATGTCGTTCATTTCGCCTTCTTCCTCTTCTTGAACACCACAGCCGGAGCAGCTGGCGCGTGCTCTTCCTGCTTGACAACAGTCTCAGCAGCCTTGGCCTCCGCCTCCTCGGCCGTGGGTATATCCTGAAGTGTGTTCGTGCCGCTGTCATCTTCGACTTCGGCTTTCACTCCATCCTCTTGGTCTTCTTTCTTCACTTCGGCTTGCAGCTTCTTCTTCCCAAGCAAACTCTCGATATCGTCGTCGCCGCCCTTGCTGCCTGGGAAACTCTTGTAGGTATGTCCCCAGCCTTTCCGTTTCGTGATCAGCTCACCAGCGGCCTCCCGCTCCTCTTCATCCTCGTCGAGTTGCCTCTTCCGTACGCCCTTGTTCAACGACGTCGCCTTGAACTCTCCATCTTCTGTCACTTCTCCCACAACTTCCTCCTTGACCGTCTTCCATTCACCTGCTATCGCCATGTCGCCTCTTGCGGCCGCAGGAAGCGCCACGCCCATGGCTGCTAACTGCTCCCATTGTCGTTTCCTATCATCTACTGTCGCCTTCTGTTGTGGTTTCTTCTCATATGTAGGTTTGCCGCCTACGCCGGTTGCGACGGAAGGCGTGGATGCGGATGGTACGAGGCCATTTAGACGTGCGACCTCTGCTTGTGCGCGCGCCTGATTGCGCTTTTCGTTCTCTTGTTCGCGATGGAGCCCCTTGAGACTGCGCTGGATGTTGCCTTGGTGGCGGCCGGTCGCTTCGTGTTGCGCGCGTTCGAATTTGGTGTCCTTCACAAACGTGGAGCAGAACTTGCACCAGTATTTTGGCTGTAGCTTAGTTAGTGTATGACGCGCTTATCAGGCCTAGTCTTACTTACTGTTGACTTCCAGTACTCCGCCATGGTCGTGTGTCGTGGAGTGACGTGCAACCAGCGACAGTCGGGGAAAGCTTACCTGGCGCACGGTGCACCTCGGCGGTCCGCATCGCTAGAAAAGACGAGTTCGCATAGCGTGAACCACAGCTGCGGGTCTTTCACCGCTCTCCACTCCCAAACCCTAATTGCTCTTCACATGTCTTCTAGCTTCTTTCCTTCTTCGTCACAGTTCTCGACTCGAGTTTCCACATTTAGCAGGCCATGCCCCCGCCATCAGATCCTTGCACGTCGTTGAGATGACTAAGAAGAGCATGGATTTATCTGAGGGACACCGGGTAGCAGCAGGAAGCAAGCCCTTATTATCATCACGCCCTTCCTACGTACTGACTGGTTGACTACACCAGCATGGCTGAGCTAAAGGATGCCAGACGCTTTAGCGAAGCGCGTGAACACAATCTTCTGCCGCCTTAGCCGTCACTCTCTATCCTGTCTGGTCGTATAGACAATGTCTCTCTGTAACACCTCGCACTTCTATGGAGCCTCAGATGGCTGTGCCACTGGCTTCAGCTGTCATACAACTTGTCGACTTTTCGAGGAAAGTGGTCCAGAAGGACAAGGTGGGCAAAGTATACAAATCCACCGGCACCGCCCTAGAAGAGGCTACACTGCTCGATGACGCCATCGCTAATCTCGGCGACTTGTCACAACAACTTGAGAAGGCACGACGCGCATACTACAAGTCACATTCTTCCCCTGATCAGGAAATTGCAGATGCGCAACTGATTACATTGGCGAAGGATGGTGGGGGGGTGGCGAAGATCTTACAGGCAACACTGGATCAAGCGAAGCGCGACAATGACGTGGATGAGCAGACGGTACTTTCACAAGGACTACGCAGCATTTTGAGCTTGTACTACAGTCAGAAGACGATATGTGATCTTGCGGATAAAGTTGGCTCTATTCGCAAGCAAGTAGATGTCGCTCTGCTCGCCTCGCTCCGGTCAGTGACATGTCACTAGTGCGATCACACATTGACCCAGATCGTAGACAGCATGCGACTCGACAGCATTCAGTTCATTCGGAGAAGGGACGGCTTCCGGTGGACGGCAACACAGGACCTGATATACTCCTACTCCAGTCTATCGCGCATCACGATTGGAAGACAACGGAGACGGTTGATGTCGCTGCATTTTCAGACACGTTCGAAAACTCCGTCGTAAGCAATGATATGGAACGCCGTTTCGCCAGCTTGATGTTGGCGCGCTTGCATTTCGCTGGCATGCACGATCGGTACAAGGCGATTCCCATTGCGTACCCAGGAACCTCGCAATGGATATTTGATGCAATTCCCGAACAGCCCGCCACTAATGACTTTGATTCCTTCTCTCGGTGGCTCACAGCAATAGGGTGTAGCAATACATATTGGATCAGTGGCAAGCCGGGTACTGGGAAGAGTACGCTGATGAAGTTTGTGTCTAGTCACCCTCGCACCGCTGCTCACCTGCGCGCCTGGGCCAACGGAAGGACACTTGTCAAAGGAAGCTTCTGCTTGTCTAGTCTGGGCAACGACATGCAAAAATCGCGTATGGGGCTTCTACAAAGTCTGCTTCACGCTGCGGTTAAAGGCGACACGGAGACGTTGATCCAGGTCTTTCATCATCGCTGGCAACGGTTCCTTGATTCCGGTGGAGGACGACAACCTTTCACATGGCTTGAACTGCGTCAGGTCTTCATGACAATGATCTCCGCGCCTATCACGCCAAGATCATTTTTCTTCGCGATCGATGGCCTAGACGAACTCGACAGTGGCCTGAAAGACATTCTTCAATTGATCAAAGACATAGCCAGATATCCACATGTCAAGGTTTGCGTTGCCGGCCGATCGTCACCAGAGATTCATGGCGCATTGGCAGGCAAGCCTTGTCTACGCCTTGAACGTCTAAATCGCCAGGATATCTGCAACTACGTCGCCGCCTCACTGTCAAGGTCGCAAGTATACGTCAAGGTCAGCAAAATGGATCCCAGTCGCGCTACTGAACTGGTCAAACGTTTAGCTAAGAAAGCAGCCGGTGTGTTTCTCTGGGCACATATCGTGGTGCAACTATTACTTGATGATCTGCCACCTACAGCCCGCATGGCCAGTCTTGTTGCTCGGCTCGAAACGTTACCATCAAGCCTAGAGCAACTCTTCACAAAACTTCTCGGACGTCTGGAAACAGAACACCTGAAGCACGCGTCGGAACTTCTCCGTCTGATGATGAACAAATCACGGCCTCTTCTGCTCGAGCTATGGTTTGCGGACTGCAACAACGATGACGCGGCATTGAGGAACGAAGCCCGACCGCTGTCAGACAATGAGATATTCGAGCGTCTCGAGATGATGAATCGCCGACTGGTTTCCCGATGCGGAGGCTTTCTAGAGACAGAAAGCCAAAGCGGAAGTCCAAGTTCTGGACTATCGAAGAGTAAGTTGAGAATTCGCAACAGATCAGGTTATAGCTAACCACCTGTAGCGTCTCGTGTTACCTGGACACACCGCATTGCGAAAGACTTTGTCCGGTCTCAACGAATATGGAACATCATACTCGACAACACCGGGCATAATGCTTTCGATCCTGAATGGCACTGGGCCAACGGTCAACTAGGCCTATTCAAGACTGTTGCCGGGACCACCAGTACCAAGAGCTCTCACTTCCTCTCGTGCGTCGATTATGCACTTCGACTAGAACAGCGGCTCAACATCTGCCCAGTCAAGTTCCTAGATGAAGTCGGCCGTACCGCAACGACGTATGCGACTGTATACGACGATATCGTGCCTCGGAAACTCAAAGGCACTATCAACAGCTTTCTCGAGTTCGCTGTCCTGTTCAATCTCGTAGGCTACGTTCGTGGCAGAGGCCCAACGCTATCGAGAGACGAGTTATTACATGCTTCTCGCTTGCTAGGTGCACTGGACGCAAAGAAGTGGGAAGTGTTTGTAAAGCGTTTTGAACACCCTGGAATCTGGAGTAAGGAGTTTGAAGAAAGAAAAAAGGACATGCATCAGGTGATGGACAGCTTGCTTGATCGAGGAGGCGGTCAGTCAAGATGGCAAAGAGCGAGGAAGAGACTTTCTGGGCAGAAGAAGACATGAGTCGTTATGTGTCGCGTTCGGAACAGCTTCTCGAAAACGATGGGGCAGATCCTGATGGGGCGAATATGTTACATCATGACCATGGGCTGCTCCGAAGACACACTGACAATATATATATCAGTAAGAACTTTATCTTCCACATACGACCATAGGATCATGAAAATTAGGCTTCCCGTCCGCTCAGCCATATACAAGCATGATACCGGCGGATTAGTAGTTAGGTGGGTGACCACTAGCGAATCCCCGCTGTTGTATGTTTTTGACATTTTCTTTTGCCAGTTGGGCTATCTTTTTGCTACCCTGGCCATGAGTTGGGATGGTATCATCGCATCGCAGTGCATCCATACTGTACAAACTCCGCCCACCACAATCTTACAACACCTGCCACGGCATCAACATCTATCTTCTACCCACTCTACTCACTCCGTCTTCGGCGCGCTCAAGTTTAAGTCCTCATACACTGGCAACTCCCACCTCTTTTCCTTCCCCTCCGGCAGCCACCCCGCAAGCCACCCCAACACCTTATCCACCCTCATCGTCGAAATCGACCAAAGCACCCATCCCACAGCCCAGACTCCCCATGCTGACTCCGGAAAGAACCTCCATTCCTCCACTAACGGCCCCAGTCTCTGACACTCCTCAACCGGCTGCTTCATCTCCTTCTGATACGCTTCCAGCGCCGCGTCGACATCACTGCCACACCGCGCTAGCTCGCCAGCGAGGACGTACGCCCCAATAAGCGAGAGTGTTGTGCCCATACCGGTGAAAGCAGAGGGACAGTACCCCGCGTCTCCTAGTAAGACAACCCGGTCTTTATGCAATCGCCGGCCGGGCATCTGGACCTGCCCAATCTCCGTAGCATAGAAATCCTTCACATCCTCCAACCCCTTCAGGAACCGCGGACACTCCCACCCCGCATCACCATATTCCTCGCTCCAAACAGCCTTCTGCTCATCCAATGGCTTCCTATACGTACCCCTCATGCGACTAGCCCGCTCCTCACGGTTGTTCAAGAGGAAGAAGTAGACTTGCGTCACGGGACGGTCGCCCGTGCGTGTCATTACCATGCGGTTCTGCGGACCGAAGTAGATACGCGCGAGGCTGTTTTCCGTGGGGAGACGCGGGACGTTGTAGTACGCGGCGTGAATATTTAGGGATTTGAAGGACGCGTCACTGGTTTCTTGTCCGAAGGCGAGGCGCCGGGTCCGTGAGGACTGGCCGTCTGCGGCGATGACGAGGTCGAATGTCGATGTCGAACCCGTGGAGAAAGTCACTGTCGTTGATTTTGTCGATGGATTTGGCGAGAGTGCAGTAACAGTCGTCCCAAAAACATACTTCAAACTCCCACCATAGCCTTGATCGTCCAGTGTTTCGCGCTCCTGGAGACTGATATCATACACCAACCTCACAAAATCCCCCCTCATAAACTCAAACTCGTTCGTCAGCGTCCTTCCTGGGTTCTCCCCCGCAGCCGTCACACCAAACTGCATCAAGCTCTTGCCGTTTCCGTCAATGAATTCCAGGCCGCTTTCATGGACACAGTAGGGCCGGAGTGTTTCGAGGAGACCAAGTTTCTGCATGATGGGGATGCCGTGCGCTTTTAGGTCGATTTGCTGGCCGCCGGTGCGGAGGGAGGGGTAGCGTTCTAGGATTGTGATGGTGTGGGTGGGGTTGCTGCGTTGGAGGATGAGGGCGAGGAGGGGGCCGCAGACGCCGGCGCCGGTGATGAGGATGTTTAGGGGTTGGGGGGTTGTCATTACTGCGGTGGTAGGGCTAGAGAGTTGCTTTGGTGAAATGCTAGAACTTGGACGCACGCACAACGCAGTAGGACTAGAGAATGTGGTTCGTTGGCAGAACAGAGTAGGCAATATCTTCGCAAGGCGACAATACTAACTGGATAACAGTCGGGTCTATCCTTCCAGGCATCTTCATTCTTATATTGACATTGCTACGAAAAGCCGACGCAGTACGATGCTCCTCCGAACGGCAATCTCGCACATTGGGACGGAGACCGTGTTCTCCGAGCTCTTCTCCGAACGCTGTTAACGCGGACATAGTAGGCGTTAACTGTTAGGGATGATCCAATAGCGGAGCTGTGTAGACTGTTGCCTTGGCATCCTTGCTGACTCTGCTGCAGTCTGCGTCAGCGCGCATGAGTGTCTGTACGCCGTTTGTCGCTCAACGAAGAAGGATATGTGCCTTTTGAAGACTGTAGCCTAGATGACGTACTACGGTTCACATTGTAATGCTGTTGAAGGTCACGGGCGTTGTTGAACAAGAGTAGTTGATAGTTGACAGGACGAACGTCGTGATGATGCAGACTTCAGGGTCTGCGGGCGGATCACCTGTCGGCGCCAAGCAACAGTGAAGCTCGTCGCTTCGCATCACCAACACCGACCTGCACCAACCCACCCGCCTTCTGCGCTACATCGACACGTAGGCACAAACCCTATACATACCACCTTACAGCCGGTTATCGCCGACGTCAGACTCTCGAAAAGCCAACAAGCCGCACACGGTCCACCAAACCTCGCAATGGCCATCCTAGGGACGGCCCTCAACGGCATCGGCGCGCTCTTCCTCACACATGCGTACGTGTACACGTAGCTCATATCTCCATATCCCCAAATACAGAGTCAAATGAGCACCACCACACAATCCCTACTCCCAACTAACCCCCACCAGCGTCTACTCGACCCACGAACACACCGCAACCTTCGCATCCACGCCCCTCCCCCTCGACATCTCGCTCGAACTCCTCACCTCCATCCTCATCCTCTCCCTCGGCATCGTCATATCGTTTGCACCACTAAAGCCAATACAATACGCACAATGGGCGGGCCAGATTTCGCGGGAAGGACGACACGGCGAGGGCTACTACACAAAAGAGGGCGAGGAGGTGTTGAGTGAGGGCGATCCGTATGCGTTTTTGGGTCTGGATGGCGGGATTGGTGGGAAAGGGGAGGGGAGGAAGGGATTCTGGGATGTTAAGGGGAAGAGGAAGGAGTATGAGGAGTGGGTTAGGCAGGGTGGGAAATAGTAGATGGTTGAGGACAGCGGGGGAGATTTGGGTCGAAGAAGTCCAGCGGATGAGCGTGATAGACTGGCGACGCGCACCGGTGGTGTGCTTGGGCATGCATATTGTCAAGAAGCGTCTCATACCCGGTACGAAAGATGATTCTATGATCGACCACCGTTATGCCTATCGTACATCGCCCGAATGCCCGATTTCGATGCCCCATACCCTGTGTCCCGAATGTCCAAACTCCCCAAACGCCATGCTTAAACGAGCAAAACCAGCAATCCCAATCAATCTGTTCCCATGACTCCTTTCCCCTCCAATCCTTTCCTCACGCCTCGCTTGTCATCTTCTCAACCTGATTCCCTCCACACCCATTCACCCTACAAGCCCAGCACTCCTTCCCCTCCATCTCCTCGCCAATAGCCGCAACATCCGCACTCTTCCTCCTCGGCCCCTCCGCATCCCCATTAACATCAACACCACTAACCCACCAGATCCCCGCCGCAATAACCTTGGCCACAACCTCCACTTCCGCCTCATCCCTGGGCGCATACACCAGCATAAACTCCCTCGGAACAAACTTCCTACACCACCCACCCCTCGCAAGCGGATGTCTCTCCCCCCACCCCATCTCAATCAACAGATTCGCATCCGCAGGATGCAACGTCATATGCATCGACCCATCACTAGGATGCGCATGACAAATCTCACCTCCACACGTCCTCGTAATCGGCACACTAGTAAACAACCCCGAACTATGCTTCTCAAAACAACTCGTACGTTCCAACAACCTATTCCCGGGAATCCGGGCAAGACCCTTAATCTTGGCTACCAAACAACCGTAAACCGCCTGCCCGCTCTTCTGCGTCTGCTGTCTCTGCGGCGCGATACCGCGGATGAGCGGTTTCGTGCCTTTGCGGGTGGGTAGCGAGGTGGCGGTGAAGTAGCCTTTTTGCGGACGGAAGTGTGGGGGTATGGCGATGGGGCGGAGGGGGTCGCGCAGGCAGATTAGAGAGAGGAGTTTGATTTTTAGGTAGCCGAGGGGGGTTGCTGGGGTGCCGCCGGGGCCGAGGGAGAGAAAGGCGCGGTAGTCTTTGTGGATGTAGAGGGCTGTTAGGGTGGGGAGGAGGAGGGCGAGCGTGGCGATGAGCATGTGGATGTGCGTTTCTGTGAACATGCTTGGGTGGGGTGGTGGTATGGTTGGTTCGTAGGATGGGTGTAGGGTTGTGGTGGTGAGGTTCTGTGGGTCGACCATGTTGGGTGCCCAGGTGATGTTCTTGGTTGGTCGTCCTGGAGGTAATTGAAGACGTGGAAATTGAACAAAGAAAGCAGGAAGAAGTTTGCTGACAGTCCTCTTATGACTTCCTTCTCAACAAGACAAGAGAAATACAGAACCCGGGAAAGCACAATAGCTCCGTGGCCCCAGTAAAGAAAGGAAGATCGGCCTCACACGTGCACTGCAGGAAGGAAGGTCGGTGAGTACCACGCGAGACTCAGGGTCCGCGGGACCTAAGAGGGATGACGTTGAATTGATACAACAAACAAAGCTACCCACTCAGATACCAAACGAGCGCCTCTATACAGTAGAAATCCAGAAGCAGAAGCCTAAAAGCCCCAAGTACCAGCTCACCGACCGACTACGAGCACACGCAACCCCTTCTTATAATCCCTCAGAAACGCCAGCAAACCAACGCAGCAACCATAGCGACCGACCGACCGACCGACGTCAACCCCGTGGTCCCCCAAAACATAATCCACGTGCCTAGCCCCGCATCCGGTTAGCACGGCCCTCACCTGCATGATTGTGGGGTTAGCGGCCGGCCGCGCTAGCAAGCCCATTGGCCCACATCACGGTGCCTGTGACGTTTGACCTAAATCAACAATGCTGGCCGTTCGCTTCCCCTTCTCTCTATTTATCCCTTAACTGCGAGTTACTTTCGTCATTCTGTCGTGTGTGCACTTGAGAGAGATGGTCTGGGCGCTTGAAGGGTTTGCCATCGCCGATGTGCGGGAGCAAGGGTGAGGGATTTGGGGGTTGTACGAAACGGAGCGGGCATTATGCTGGTGAGGGGGATGCTGAGATCAGCTGTGCTCACGTGGTCTTGCGCACGGTTATCTTTCTAGAAAGAGGGGTTTCTGGGAAGCTGACTTCTCGTGTTCAGCCTCTTTCTTACGTATGCCCGCTGTCTTGAGTTATGTGCTTGTTCGCCCGTCGCGGCATGAATTGGCGAGGTACGTTGGCACGCTTTGACCATCGGCTGGGTGTTCTGATCACCAATGGACGAACCGGAAGCTTGCCAGAAGGTCATCAGGCGCGGGACTAGCGTAGTGGTATCAATACCCGCTAGTTCACGAAAGCTGGTGTCGGCGTTGTTCGATAGATACCCTGCAGCGTGCAGCATGCAGTGTGATCGGAGGAGCGGTGATGCGTGGCGCGCTGTGAGCTCTTTGCATTATCGCCGAGCTCGGAACTTGGGTTCGAGACCATGGCTGTAAGTACATGCTTGTTCGATTTCATACTGAGATACCAGGTTTGTTCATGGGTATGCGTGCTTGCAGCCATGTATTTCATCATTAGGAAAACAACTCGGTCACCTCTCGATTGCATTGACACTCATGGCGCATTGGTAGAGGCGGCATAAGAGAGAGGCAAGAGAAGAGAAGAGTGTTATCAACTTAAGACCTTCGAAATGGTACGACTGCTTGCTGTTCACGAGGCCGGGTAGGCGATGGACACGTACCACACAACAACGAATGCTCTACAGATTCCTGCGCGTTCCAGCGCATCGCGCCGCAATCGTGGATCAGTCTACCCAGGTGATCCGCACCTCAAGAAGCTTGTAATCTGTGGGGAATCCAAGTTCAGTCAGATCATTACCCACGTGTTCCTGCCGTCCCGGTGGCAAACGACAATTCCACGACCCCTTCTCAGGTCGTCTTTTTCCAGTAATATTGACGAATACTGCCTCTTGCATGTTGGCCTCTCTCTGTTTTTCATCTGGCATGAAGATCTCAAGCTCGGCGGAGACCACTCTTTCGGATTGTCGCGCGTCCATGTTCTTCAGAACCGACACTGCAGATTTTATCTCATTCATCATGTCAGACGTGAGAAAGAAACTCCTGTAGCCCCCTGGGCAGAAATTCATCATGAATGAAGGAAATTCTTTCTGGACTTGGACCAATTGAAGAAGGTCGACCTTCCGTTCTTCACCAGTTCCGAATTTGTCGAGGCGTATGAGGATGTAACGGTTAATCGTTCGTAAACTTTCGTATGGTCGCTTGATGAAGAAGACGTGCAGGTAATTGTTCAGTTGTCGGAAAGGGACGACGGGACTGTATAGCCGCAGCTTAGTGGACGGAGACAGATACATAGGCGCGAAATCGTCGTGGACTTGCTCATGAGAATTGACAAGGTTTATGGCGTCAGCACATTTTGGTGTTAGATGGAGGAATTCGGTGTAGATGGCGTTGCGTAGCTCTGTATTCAGGACCTGAAATCAGCCCTGGGCAGGTAAATCGTGGGATTTGGAGACGTCGTACCTCCGGGTAGGTCAAGGAAATTCGCTCTGTGGCGGTAGTGTGCGCTGCTTCGAATTTTAGGATCCATCGACTGGTACTGCAGTGTCACACGACTCTTTTGACATACCTGACTGCCATACTGTTGTCGCGACGAGGAATAGAGTGCGTCTTTGACTCAGACTGAGGCGAGATCTTGACTCAGGCAATACTATCGAGGCGAAAGCTCATACAGTCTTCCAAAGAGGCTTTGCTTTGATGTTCGGCGGTTTGATGCCGTCGAAGAAATGTCGTAAACAAGACAGACTCGCACCACAGTCCAAGATGCGGCCTCCCGCCAAGACCACGCTAAACCTAACAAGTCGACGACCGGGCCGGCGTCAAGCTGCGGGCTGATTTCTCACATCCTTAAGCTTATCACATTGATGTGAACGGTCATTACGCATAAATTGCTCTACAGCCTTTCTTGCGCTATTCCTCCCGTATCTCCGTTCCACCAAAGTGAAATCCTATTCATCTTCCTCACTCTCGGAGACATGATATTCGCTTTCTGGTTCGTGCGCTACATGAAATCGCACTTTGACGCCCCCGCATTCAATACCAAATCCAAACTTTTCGAAGTCTTGTTCCGTACAGTTCGCCATCAGAGCGATGTCAAGATAGGCTACTAGACCGGCACTGAACTTCTCATCTAAAGGTGGCCTGACAGATAAAGACAGATCAATAGCAGCCAACTTCGCGTACAACGCATCCTCCAGGTTTCTGAGTATTGACAGGGGTACGTCGATGTCTATGTCGTCAATACTGAAAGTGACTAGAGCAGAATGACTCGGAATCGCTGTCTCTTCTTCCTCAGAGTCTTCCTCCTCAGAGTCTGCTTCCTCCAATTCTGACTCCTCAGATTGTGCTTCCTCAGATTCGTCTCCGTCTTCGTTTTGGTCTTCGTTTCGGTCTTCGTCTTGGTCTTCGGCATCGGTTCCTTCTTCTTCAGGTACCTCGGAGTGATCGCGGCGGCCGGAGTAGGCAGAGCGATTGGAGCGATTAGAGCGTCTATCGCGGGCATTAGGGTCCAGCTCCCACTGAATGTCGAGTAAAGGATATCCACGCATGAATGCGACAGTTTCAAAGAGGTCGAGGTCCCAGAAGCTCCTGTGCCAACAGAGATCGTTCCAGTCGAGCTGTACAAGGAAGCTGCAAGTGAAGTCCTTTGGTCTCTGGCTAGCGATAGGCTGGAAGGTGTCGCGCAGGAAGGGTATGAGGCAGTCAAGAGGTACTATAGCGTTGCCCTGACTCAGGTATAGTGATCCGAATTCGGAGCGGATCTGCCGATTGACTTGGAGGAACTGGATGCTCTCGTCAAGAGATGGGTCGAGGTCGATGAAGTACTTGTAGACGGCGTTGCGCAGTTCTGTAATGTGACGGGTTAGTTGGCTGTACCTAGGTATTTTGACAAACCGGTCCATGATCCGCATACCTCCAGATAACCTGTCAAGGAACGGCGCTCCGTCACTATGGTTCCTGCCGCCACCATCGTCAGTTTGTTCTTTCATCAAGCAGGATGTTCGACTGCAGCATACTTGGTTGTCATTATGGTGCTGTGTAGTGGTAGCTTGAATCCTCTGCCGGTGAGTAGTGGTGGACAGCTTCGTAGGTTGACTAGAAAGCTCTAGGAGCAAACAACATTTTTGGACGACAGGTCGTTTTGTCTCAGCGTCCGCCAAGATCTGCTGTGTAACATAGACAGCGCTAGACACAAACGACCAGGCAGGCAGCTTCTTGAACTTATAATACTGCCTGAGTTCTCGCATCTTCAGATAAGTGACATGAAATGTGTTATTACTCGTGAAGTCTCTTAGATCTCTGAGTTATCTCGATGCATTGTAATCTTGAAATGCTATCCCACTGCTGTCCCACGCATCTTCCCTTACTCCCGAGACATTGTGTGCGCTTTGGTGTACGGCTGCTAGTACAAGTTCGAATGTATACCTCCGCGTTTAAACTTACGCCCCCCAATATGGAGCTGGATATCGTCGGTATCTTGTTCCGTACAGCCATGGTCCAGCAGGGTGTAAATGCTTCCGATCAACGGCTCCCCAAGAATATGAAGCCATAGGGAAGATACCTTCTCAAACTCATGATCCTCCATATCCTTTAGAATAGACACATGAGTAGCGAAACCTAAATCGTTGTCGGGCTGAAAGCGGCCAGGCGGGACCAAATTCCATCTGATGTTGAGCAGAGCATACTTTCGCATGGTCGAGATGACGTCCACCAGGTTGAACAACCAATTGTTAGGGTCGTGAGTCTCGCTGCCGAGCTCCACGCGAATCGTAAATGTAACGTCGTCAAGCACTAAGGTCGTAGAAGGGAGGATGAAGGCGCGTAGGAAGCTAGCGACGTCGTCAAAGTAGACTGTGACAGTGCCCTGACGGAAGTACAACGATCTGAACTCGGCACGGATCTGCCGGTTGACCCAAAGTAAGTTGATGGCGTCAGTGCTACACGCGCATGTGTTGAGGTCGATGAAGTGCTCGTAGATCGCGTTACGTAGCTCTGTCTCAAGTGTCAGCTTGCCTCAGTTGAACAAGCAGAATGGTAGCACTTGCCTCCAGGCAGATCAAGGAAAGATTTCTCACCGCGGTGATGTTGTCTGTCGCTTCGTGAATCAGTATGGGCTCATGCAGAGTGATGTGCGGGTACTACTTACTCGGTTGTCATCGCGACAGTATGAGATAGTAGCTCAATTTATGGGTTGGTCTTGATGGAGCAAGCATTTCTCAGAAACACTTGGTGAGTGTCGTAAGCAAAGTGAGTATCTTGACAAGGACGGCAGGAGGGCGTAGATTTGCGCCTCTGCCAAGACTGCGCTAGGAAGATCAAGTGAGAGAAAAGATGTGGGTCCTCGAAGAGCTTGCGCACCGAGTGAAGGCTGTTGATTGGCTTTGCCTTCACCTAGTACCACAGACTTTACGTTGGTGGTTATCACAGTTGAAAAAGACGGTCGAGATCACTGTGTCTATTCTAGGCGGAGCTGGCCGCGCTATCGCATCTGCACGAAAGAACAGCACTATAACATCAAGGAATCTACACTTCGCAGATTAGACTCATCTTCTGTTTCGAACTCTCAGCATCTTAGTATAGGCCCTCTCCCATCTCATAAATATCCCCATTACAGACGCAAGATCTGGTTCTCGTGATCATCTTCGCTGCTCTATGAGTCTTTCTCCTCACTCTTCGAACACTGTAGTTCATCGTATGATAATCCGCGTACCGCGCCCCAAGAATTGCCTTCCCAGTAGATTTCCACATCGATGCCTCCACATTCTTTACGCAATCTTGATGCCTCAAGGCTCTTGACGTCTTGCTCAGTAGCACCCTTCTTCAACATGAGAGACAGGCAAGCCTCTACTTCGATCTCTCCCAACAGAATCGTTTTGTACCACTCAAGGTCGTACAGGCAGAGGTGTGCAGATTCCAGCAGTTCGAATTGGTTGAGACTCATTTCTTTCAGAGCAGCCACGGTGTACGCAACCTCTATGTCCTGGAACGCCGCCTCCTTGCAGTTGTCAACCAACTTCCATACAACGTTAATGAGCGGGTAACGACGCATGATCGAGACAACTTTGACCAAATCGAGTGACCAACCAGGTGTCGCACCTTCGTCGTCGGTTTGAGGTTCAGCAAGTCCCACCGCGAACTTGTAGGGGACGTCTTTGGGAGCCGAGTCGGGATATGCGACGAAGAACGAGTGGAGAAACTCATGGACATGATCAAATGAAACCACGACTCCACCTCCGAATATCCGGTGAAGGTAAAGCGTTAGGAACTCGGCGTGGATCTGCTGATTGGTGCATGCGACACCAGCAGCATCGCCGGTCAATGGCCTCAGGTCGATGAAATGCTCGTAAATCCTGTTGCGCAGTTCTGTAATATCGCGTATCAGTTTTCTGCAACAACGGAGTGTACAGGAGTTTCACCTCCAGGTAAGTCGAGGAACGTCTTTCTACGGCGTGGGCTTCCGGCGCTGTGTGTGTCAGTATCAGATCTGACTCACCAAGAAAGCTTCTGGGCACGACTTACTTGGTTGTCATCGTGAAGTTGCGCAATGAAAGCACGCTACTTGGGCAAGAGTCGAGAGAATGAGCGGTTGGGCAGAGTGTGAAGAAAATTGAAAATTTGTTGTGTGAAGGAGCGTTTGTTTGTGCCTGCGCCAAGTCCACGCTAAAAGTGCAAGTGGGTAAGGAAAGTGCAGGAGACGGACACAGCTAGAAGATGGCACGAAGCGATTCTGTCATTCATAGAATCTCGAGATTGGCTGAGTTCGTACCATGCGCCTTCTTCTTCATAAGCGCCATATCTTCGTACTCTCCTTCCGTCATAACCAGAGTGCCATAGACCAAAAGCTCCGTGCCGCTGTGCGCTTCATCTTGCTGGACAAACCCCGAAGACTCCTATCCAAGCGCGCTACACATTAACACAGACCCTAGTCATCGCTCTCCACATCATCTTCGTCCCAGTCTGCTCCATCTTCACCACCGGCCCAAAGATCTTCATAGTTATCCGCATCCTTCTTCTCGATCTCTGCCTTGTCGTCATCACTATCGGACTCATCTTCCCAAATGATCTTGACCTTGGCGTTTCCATACTCTGCGTAGAACCCCAGTTCGTCGATCTGATCTTCCGTGACCTCGCTCTTGACAATGATGAGCAGTCGAGCGCCCATGCGAGGCATCAGGACCGACAGGAAGTCACGCGGCAGCTTGTACAGCTTGAGCGTGACGAAAGCCATTCGCGCAAGTTTTGGGGCATCCAGGCTCTTGAGGGTATGAACGATCTCGGCGATGTCTTTGTTCCATTCAATGTCGAGTAACGGGTATTGGTTCATACAGACCACGACATTGAGCAGATCGACAGACCAGTTCTGGTACTCGAACAGATCGATGCTGACTCGGAAGCCGCAAGGGACGTTCTGCAGCGCCGACTCAGGGTAGTGTAGGAAGAACACATTCAAGAAGTGGTCGATGCAGTTGAGTGGAACCTTGACGTTGCCCGAGCGAAGGTAGAGCGTGCCGAACTCAGCATGGATCTGTTGGTTGACGAGAACAAGGTTGGCGACGTCTTCAGTCGTAGGCGCGAGATCGATGAAACGCTGGTAGATAGCATTGCGCAGCTCTGTACTCGCAAGTTAGATTGTGGCATTCAGAAGACTTGATCAGGATTGATGTTACCTCCAGATAAGTCCAAGAAGGACGTTCCGCCGCGAATGTCTCTGCTGCTTCAACAGTCAGTTCGTGAGGATTGAGAATGCTGATCAAACCCAACTTACTTGACTGCCATGCTCAATCTCCAAGTAATAGTGAGCGAATTGAATCACTTGATAGGAAGGGTAAAGAGGTAAAGTTGCTGTGGACAACGATGCGTTTTTCAAGGTCTCGCCAAGATCGCGCTGGAAAAATCCAGGTGAGCGAGAAAAGGTGAGAGTGAGGACGAGCGTCACTGTCTCCTTCCCAGTTTGGATGCGTATTGTCTCTGGGTTGCACGGACCCCGAAGTGATCTTTTACAAGAGGAAATACACAAGACGCGACGCACCTAGACTAGAGAGCAGACTGGAAGACTTGTACGGTAAAAGTTCATTCTACATACTGAATTGAATCGTTAAGTAGAGATTGGGTTTTCAAATCTTCTTTCAAGATCTCAATACGCGCCCTCCCTCTTCTCATACTCCATCCCCATGACAGTCCCCACCTTCTTCATCCCACTCCAAATCTCCGCATCAACCTCCAACTCCAAGCCCTCAACCTTCGTCGCGCCACCATCAAGACCCCAAAGCGAGACACCCAGATAGTTCGTTCCGTTGTAGTTCAAAATACCCTCCGTAACAGGGAACTTGACCTGCGGCCCAACATTGCTAACATACTTCCCATACTGCCAGCCATTGACGTAAAGCTGGACGCGGTACGCAGGAACACTCGAACCGCCACTGCTGCTGTTACCAGAAGAAGTGCCGTTGGTGAAGGTGAAGCTGAGCGGGATATCGTAACCAGATGGCATGTTGAGATCGAATTCCGTGGCGAAGAAACCGATTCCAGGAGCGGAAATACCGTCGGCGACGGGGCCGGCGGAAGCAATCCATTTAGCGTCGGTGGCGGAAAGAGCACCAGGGAGGTGCAGACCCTGGCGCTCGACGAAGAGACCGCCTTCGTTGAGGGGACCGCGCGAGATGTCGCGGTAATCTTCTCCACCGAGGTTACCAGTGAGCTTCCAGCTGATGTCGGAAGCGTCGTGGCCGGATAGCTTGTAGTCTAGGATACCGCGCGGGTTCTTCATCGTCTCGGTGCCGATGGTCCAGTTCTCGTCGAGACCCTGGTTGTCGACTACGACCGTGATGGTGTACTTCTTTCCCTTGGTCAGGTTTGGCATGGTGAAGGTAGCGCTTCCATTCAGGGCCGCGTCGTATCCGCGCCATGAGCCGAGGAATTGATCGCCGATCCAGGCGGATGAGCCGAATGCTGAGCCACCTTGGGTAGTAAGATTAAAGGTTGTCTCGTTTCCGGTTGCAGTGAATGTGCCACGGAAGAGGAGAGTGCCGGTGTGGTAACCATAGTCAGAGCTGTACAGCGATACTGGGGTATCAAGAGGACGCAGAGAGTTGTACGTCTTCTTCAGATCCGCCGCAGTCCACTCGCTGTCATCGTATCCGGGTTGGATCTCAGGAAGCGAGTCGACGTACTTCCACTCGAGTTCGCTAAGTTTGGGCAGGCTAACTTCTGGCTTAGTGAACTCGATGTCGGCGCACAAGGTTCCTTGCTCGGAGGTGGTGAAGTCGATATCCTGACCGTTGAAAGTCATCTTAGACACATCAGATGATGCGCCACCAAGAACCTCGACAGTGGTGGTAGCATTGAGATCTCCAGTGAGGGCGAGTGTGTCGCCAGTGACCTTGGCAGTGCGCATCAGGTAGCCTGCCTTGAGGATAACAGGGTTGGACGAGTCGTGGGGTGCCTGGTCGACGGCCCAGTAGTTGAAGGCTTCGACACGGTCGACCATGTAGACGTAGATGGGGCTGTCAGCTCCCACCTTTGCCACCTTTCTACCTCCATCAGCATTGAAGTTCAAGATTGTGACTCCACTAGTAGTCATGCTCTTGACATCGCCTTCGACGACTTCCAGTCCAGTAGCAGCAAGGGCCAATTCGTGAGTCTCTCCAGGTCCACCGTAAACAACCAAGACAGTCTTGTCTTCATACTTGTGCCAAGTGAAGACTTCGGCAGTAGAGTAAACAAGAGTGGTGCCGCCAATATCGTAGTCGCTGACGTGGATCTTGGAATCGCGGCCGTTAAGCGTCAGCGAAGTGCCGTTCATTTGGGGTACAGTAATGTTGCCCAATGTCGACGTTGCAACGTTGAGCTTGTAGGTTGTGGAATCCAGCGAGTTGTACTTGGAATGCCTGACGAAGTAGAATGCCGTCTTCTCGTTAGTGGCGGGAGTAACGCTAAGGTCACTGCTGGTAGTCCACTTGGAAGTCGAAGCATTGCCGCGTGCAGCAGTGAGGTACGCAGGGCTGACCTTGAAGAAGTTTGCCTGGAGCTTTAGCTCTGAGTACTTCGCGCGGTCGACTTGACGGTCTTCCTTAATGGGTGCAGCGTAGTCGTAGCTGGTGTAACCACCTGGGTGACCGAGGTTACCCCAGTTGGTACCACCGTAAGTCATGTACAGGTTCAGAATAGTGACGCCAAAGCTATACAGTTGCTTGTAGAAGACACGGTTGAATTCTGCGCCAACTAGAATGCCGCACTTGTCGAAACCTGGTCCACCCCAAGGGTCGAAGCTGCCAGACTGGAACTCGACGATGGAGTAAGGCGTAGTAGGGCTTTGCTGCTCGTGAAGCTGATGCCAGTTTGTTGGAAGATTGCCATCTGGCCATGTGGTCGGGTTGGCACAGTCAAACCCGAGAGGATATCCATCGTGTCCGTAGATGTCAACAGCTGCAGGTTGACCGGGTGCGTTGTTACCCTTAGCGGAGGCATCGTTGCTGATCAAAGGCACGATAATACCGGCGTCGCGAATCTGATCTTCGACGTATTGCATATAGACCGGATCTGGGAAAGGCTTGATAGCCGAAGTGGCTTGTGTGTACTCATTCTCGGGCTGAACGAGAATGATTGGTCCGCCGTTGGTGATTTGCGCAGGCGCAATTGTCGCCAACACATTCTTCATGTAGCTGTTCTGCTATTAGTAAGACGTCGCCTACGTCTAATGAAAATACGTACTTGTCGGTCGCCTCCAGGAAGTCAGGCGCACGGGTTCTCAGCGTGCCATTGACTCTCTGAATCCATCCAGGGAAGCCTCCACCAGATACCTCGGCATTGATGTAAGGGCCTGGTCTTGCGATGAGGTAGATACCAGCCTCTTGCGCGGCATCGAAGAAAGGCTTCAGATCGAAGACACCCTCTTCGCGGTAAACACCGGGTTTGCCCTCAAGCAACGCCCAGTCCACGTAGAAGGAAACACCATTGTACCCAAGCGCCTTGATCTTCTGGAAGACATCGGAGTAGAGATCAGGCACCGGTAATCTGTACGGGTGGACCTCGCCAGAGTACAAGAAGATGCGTTCGCCATGTACGAAGAGCGAGTCTTCATCCCATGTGACCTGGATATTGGTTAGCCATCGTCATTCCGAGATATTGCATCAACTCCGCAACTTACGATGTCTTGCAAAGCCTCTCTCTTGTACGGCTTAATCCACTGCTGAGGCGAATACCCCACAGCCCTCGCCGCAGTCTCAACCGCAAAACATCCCAGCGCAACCGCGCCTGCAAGCTTTGAAAAGCTCTTCATATTGACCAAAATACGAAACCAAAGGTCAATTAGCTTGTGGTCCGGTCAGATTCCGCGGGGATGGGACGAAATATAAAGCTTTCCGGAGCTCCAGACGGTATGCATGTAGCCGAACCGGGATCTTTCCTCGTTCCTGTCAAACAATGACAGCATCGTTTCCACGCCGCTCGTGCCATTGCGATCCGAACGCACATACCTCTTTTCCCCAGCGACTTTCCCCAGTCTTGCCCCATGTTGAGCATGCTAAGACCGCGTGTTGAACCGGATGAGTAGCCGTAGCGATACTAGCACGTCTAGTCGCTTCGCCGCATCCTTGACCATGCCAGAAGACGCAAGCACCGATTCCACCAATATCGCGACTCGAAAGGCTGTTAGTGCTGCGAAGTGGAGTAGATGCCCGCATCTCGGTTGAGGCAGGCGGGGAAACATGTCCGATGTGCGCCATGGCCGTTGCCCAGGCGGTGCAGATGGGGGACGATCAGTGGGGTTAGCGTGAGGGTTAATGCTTGGTCGTATAGTTGTGGATGCTTGCGGAAGCTTGGGTTGAGGCCTTTCCGCCCTGGATTGGGAAAGGCATCCGCGGTGTGATGACGACGGGCATCGGCGAATTTGCTCGGAGGTCGATTGTTAGTGATAATTGCGGATGGCATGACGGGGGTGAGATGCGGTGGCATGGATGATGAGTGATGGGTCGGAACCTCGTGGTAATGGAATGTGGGGGAGAGTTACCGAGGTACATCAATTCGGACCTGACGTAACAAGGCCTTGATCATCGCGAAAAGCAAGTGCGCAGACCCAGCGCGCGCATACAGAAGTGTAGGCCAAGAACGCTACCAATCCATTGCAACGAATCTACAAACATGCTATACTCAACGTGCATCTACATGTGCATAAAGACCGATCGATCCGCCCACGACTCTCCCGTCGCATGCCAACCCAAAATCATCGCATAGCAAGTAACCCGCCTATGAAGAAACAAACTCCGCTACATAACATCCTGTCGCCCTTAGAGATCTAAATGGCACACCAATGCAGCCACTCAAAGCAACCATCGCAACATGCGCCGAAGAAAGAGGTTAAAGAATGTGAAGAACATATTCGCGATAAACCCAGCGACAAACAAAACAGCCACTACTGCGGCGGATACGAATACCCAGACTGATAATACCCCGAGTTATCCGGAATAGTCGGAAAGCCATACTGGCCCCAATTGTTGAAGTCCTGAGCACTATCACCAATCATAACGTCCCCAGCCCAGCCGTTGGGGAAAGTGGCAGCGCCGCAAATCTCCATGTTGACCTTTTGCTCCTGTAGCTCTTGTGGTCGTGCCTGTGGCCATGGTTGGTAGACGCTGTGTATCGGGACGGATGCGGTGGCTGACACAGGCGATTGACGGGGATCAGACTGCTGGAAGGGACTTCTCAGGGGCTGCTGCTGAGTATTGGGATACGGATATGGTTGGTAGGGATGCGCTGGTGAGACCGGTACTGTGGCGCGCATGTGAGAGTTTTGATCATAAGAAGGCGTACGGCCGCCGTGCGCGTAGGTTGATGGTTGGGTGACTGGAGGAGGAGCTGGAGGTGTTTGTTGACCATTGTGATTGACAGCAGTGAAGCCGGACTGGTTACTAGACTTTTCCTCCGGCGCGCCTTGCATCTCATGCTTGACCGAAGCGGCGCTGGTAGGCAAAGTGCGCTCTGCGGAGTCTTCGTCATGCGGCAGTCTCGTATCTGCGAGGTCCTTATCCCTGTCGGGCCATTGTCCGTCGTTGTCGTTAGCGTTAGCAATGTCACCGAATTGCTTGTGCGTTCTCTCGAAGAGCTGCGCGTAGTCTTTCAATCCGCCACTAGCGACACCGTCACTCGAGTTGCTCTTTGGAGAATCGTCGATCTGGCCGCTCAGTTCTCGGTACTTCTTCTTCTCGCGGCGGTAATATCTTTGCCATTCTGCTAGTTGACTGAGCCACGAGCGGGCCATCTTGAAGCGACTCAGAATGCGTAGTAGGAAGCCGTTTGCGATATCATGGGCTCTAGGGTCTTTACGAGATGAGAGGGCGTCGTCCGGGTCCATGTGAGGAAAGTAGTGGCAGTAGATGGCTGGGGTGGTTAGCAATACCCGACCAAATCACTGTTAGATACTTACTGCCTATTCCAACGGCAAAACAAGAGAAAGCTACCGTTGGCGTTTGTACTAAATTGCTATGAACTTGTGAGTTCTCGATAGTATGAAGTAGTGTTGTGAAGTCGAGGCAGGCTTTCCAACAGTCTTTGGCTTGCTTGATCCAGTAGTCAGGGTCCGGGGGTTTCTCATCAATCAGTGGCTCATCCAACGGGCCGCGGGGATACGTCAACGTCCATGGTGATGTGGGCATGTACTCTCTGTACAACCACACAAAACACAATGTGTACATTGCATGTATCGCAACGTATTTGCCGGGCGAGTTGTAGCTACGGTCGTCGTTGTTGTCCGAGGTCAGCTGGAGGTGATCAGGAAGGTCGCGCTTCAACTGCTTGAGTTTGTCCTCCAATTTCTTGAAGCCAGTCGTTGCGCACCACGGTGGATTCTTGCCTTCTTGTCTACACGTTGTCAGTCAGATATCGCGGCGGAACGAACGAGGCAAACGGACCTTCTGCCGCGTTTACACGACCACTGTGAGACCTCTCCGAAGATCACAACAACTTTGATGTACCATGTTAGTTCTGCCTCCCCCTCAGCAACTTCCCACCTCCCCCCGTCCAGGGCACTGGCTCGATCTGCTCCGTCGTGGTCGTTACGGCGTTCCTCAGCATGTTTGTTCCATCGTTTCCTCCGCGCAGTATACATCGCATCGTCTTCGCCCAGAAGCCTTGTTCTTGCTCTTTTTCCAAAATTGAATGCGCCATCGCTACAGACAAGTTGAGTTCTTTGAAGTTGATCGGGCGTAAGCATCCTCGGCCGATCCTCCCCCCAACTCAGATAGCAATCCATGAGGACGCAGCTCCAAAAAGTACGCCGCTGAGTCTCGCGAAGTATGAATTGGTCCTTTTCCGAAAGGCCCTTTTCACAGTCTTTCAGTGGTGCAGGTAGTCCGCTTTCATCGACATCCAGGTGCGGGTACCCAAGGCATATGGCAGCTCTGATAGCAATCCCGACCTTCATCCAGCCCTCAGTACCTTGCAAATTGGTCCATTCATAATACCCCAACATGAGGAGTGTTTGGATCTTTTCCACATTCGGGGACCCAATGATATCCGTTCCCATCTGCGTGCGAGTCGCCGATGCGTAGAATTCGGCAACCCTGATCGGGTCATTACCCATTTGCGCTACGAGCTTGTCATGGAAACGAGCAGTCTGGGTAAGGAAGGCTAAGAGCAAAGGCGCATACACGCGCGGTGTTGGAGCTTGAGTCGGAGTCTTAACTTCAGATGAGCTGCCAGATGAAGGCGGCGGCCGCACAGAGCTGAGGAAAGTTCGCTTATGCAAGAAGGGGAAGTCGGTAGAGAAATGCTTCTCATAGATGTCAAACAACTCTTCCCAGACCTGAGAAGTAAGCAATGGTGATTGGAGAGCATCTTCAGGCGAGCCCAAGCCTTCTACCGAGCGTTGCGCTGTAGTCGATGTTGGTGCTAGTAGCTTGCGTCGCTTCTTGGGCGGGGCCTGGGGGTGTCAGCGCTAGCACGTGATATAGCCCAGGACGTGGACTCAGCCACGAACGTTGATATGCAACACGACTAATGGAGTAGTGGGAGACAAAAAAGGATGACTTACATCAAAATCGGCCGTGCTATCGCGGCGCACAGATCCTGTGCTGCTTGCGACAGCCGCGTGGTCCCAGGTACAGTCGCGGTTGGTATTCGCGCAAGCCTTGCACGTCGTGCCCTGACCGGTGTTTTCGCACTTGGTCTTGCTTCGGCGACATCTGGTGCATGCAATCTGCGAGCGCATGCCTCGTTTTGCTGAGGGCTCAGCACTGCCGCCGCTGGCATCAAGGGGCCCGGGAGTCTGCTGCGGAGACGCCTTGACGGTGGATGGAGACAGCTGGGTTAGGGGAGACTGCAGTTGCTGATGCTGTCCGGGAGGAGATGGCGGCCGTTGATGTCGTTGTTGTGGTGGGTAAGCAGGCAGTGCAGTTAGCCGCGGTGCATTCTCTCCGGTCATGGGAAGATGCGCGACGGCGCCCAGCTCAGGCGGTGCGCGAATATTGGCGATGAGTCGAGGGCGTTCTTAGAACGGGGGTTGATGAAGAATGGCGGTGCTGCGAGGCTGCGCGCGTCTTGTTGATCGAGTCCTCGGGTGATGTTGCTGCGATGTGCGGGCCGGAGAGATGGGATGGTTGCCGGAAACGCCAGTCACGGGCTGGGGCCGAAGATTACCAGACGACGACGACGAGATGCAATGCAGGTCGGAGGTCTTGCGCAATCGTCGCGTATTCCAGGGCAGCAGGCAGCACAATCTGCGGTCGCTCGGATCGTGTGGTTCCAGCGGTGGGTGCTGGCTGGCGTCTGCCTTCGATGCTGCGGGCACACGGGTATTAACGTTGGACCTTCCCTTCCGACGGGACGAGAGCAACTTGGCGTTGGTCCTTGCAGCGAGTGCTGCCATAGCATACCGTGGTATTTAAGCGATCGCTTCATCCGACAAACTTACCAGTCACCGCGATTTCTCTGCCGGTCTGCCGTCATGAGCTTATGCTTACCCTGACAGCCCACGGCCAGACACCCCAGCGGCCCAGCTGTTGGCCGCCGCGCAGTCGCAGCAGCAACCTCCCACTTCACCAGCGGCCCGGTTAGCACCGCATCTCCATCTATCGCTAATCCCGCCTGGTCCGAGTCTCTCAAACGCCTCCCTCTCTGCTTGCCCCAGCACATGAGCTGTCGCACGCAGAACGGGCGCTGACACGTGGGCGGGCCTGCATGCAGTAGTAAGGTGTCGCGGAGCCTTATGGCGCACGTACAAATACGCCCAGTCGATTGCGTTTGGCTGTCAGCCAGGCGCTTCACCGTCACCTTACTCTAGTCCGTCAGAACCATGCCCATCGTCGCCAGCGCATGTCCCGCATGGTTGTATGCAAGGCTCCGAACGGTGCAACACCTTCACATGATGCGAGCCTCCCGTCTATCTTTTGCCCCATCCAGCTAACTACGCATATCGCTACCTATGATATCGCCAGGCCGTGTTGGCCGGTAGACGTAGCCTCGTTGTCTTACTTCCGCGGGTCTGAAAGCGGCATCAATCTCGATGGCTCGGCCTTAGCATTTGCCTCTGCCCGGCAAATCACCTCGATGCGCTCCAACGACTCTGCGTCTCAACGACGTTGTAGATGAAAGGTGCCAGGGGTTCTCGACTACCCATGGATACGCCGCACTCGTACGTCAGGCCAAATGGGACATTTCTCCCCTCGCCACGGTTAGCGAACTATGTCGCGCATGCGCATGCGACCAAGTTCAGCCTGACATTGATGAGTGAGATTTTCTGCAAGTGGCCCAATCTGGCTGCTGCACGATCGGTGTAGACCTTGCATCTTATCTGCCCTCGGGCATATTATGTCGCACCCGTTGCGTCTGTCGAAACTGTGGTACATGGAGTCTAAATCAAGTTTTGATCATTTTATCGCGTATGGCGGGATGTAGCCAGGAGGTATTTAATGTACTTTGATTGGTCATGCAAACTACAGAAAGCTGCTTGTAGCCTTCAGCCTCTTGCACCTGGTCTGTTTCTGATCCCTGAAGGTCATGTCAGGCAACTACAGCCTATCTATCCCCTCCTGATATATCCTCCGTACGACGCGCTTGGACCACGTCCAATCGTCGCATTTGCCGTGGAAGGGCGATCTTGACGACGTAGGCCCATGAACTTGGCCATTTGATCTCGAGTCGCCTGGATAGCGGCGGTGACCTTGGACTGGGGTTTACCAGTCTCGACCTTGACGAGATCCTGGCTGGGAGTTTCGTCGACCTTGACTGCGGGCTGCTTTGTTTCGACCGATTTGGCCTCAGATGATGTAGAGACGACTTGAGACCGCGCAGCCGGAGAAGCCTTCTTGGTGAAAGTCGGCATGGTGAAGCCAAAAGACGGGACGGCGACGTGTTTGCTGTAATACTGTTGGTATACAATCCTATAGGAGACACGATGAAAGAAACCTACGGCTCTTCTGGAGTCTTTCCTCCACCTTCAGACGACTTTGATGTAGGCTTTGAAGACCAGCGGGAGCTGCCGAGGCCAGACATGATATCGATCTGCTAGGCATTAGTATCGCTTACCGCATACAAGTCGCGTTCACCAATACACATACCTTTGTGTATTTGTGATGTAGTCGTCAATGTGTATACTGATGTGAGCGTTTTGGTTCCCGAGATGTTGTTGCGGGTAGTAAGAGGAGACAAGAAAGTCAGGTCGACAAGTTTATATACACCGAGGACCTCCTAGCGTACTCGGCTTCACCTCGAAAGAGCGTGAAAACAAAGTGAAGGCATCCACGGTGACACAGAAAAAGATGCGATATCAGAAATATTGACGCGGTCACGCAGGATCTTATAATTGTGAGGGATAACAACGTTTGCTACTGATACACATGACACTCTCATGCGCCATTGTCCTATCCTATAGTCCTCCCGGCGTGACAGCCTGCACCTACCACTTCTCAACCGCCGGCCTAAGATCAATCTCCCAGGTAAAGTTCGTCTTTGGCTGAGTGTGCAACCACCAGTAATCATTCGCAATCTGCACTTCCCGTTAGCAAAAGACACTGCGGTATAAAGGAAGTTACTCACAGCATCAGCGCTCAACTTGGCCTCCTTAGGCATATCCTTCAACCACTCCTTCGTCCTCGGAATATCAATCACTCCATCAATAATCGCATGAGCAACATGCACCCCCTGTGGTCCAAACTCCCTCGCCAAACTCTGACTCAACGCCCTCAACGCCCACTTCCCCGTCGAGAAACTCGCCATCTGCGCATTACTCTTCACACTCGCCGTGGCCCCCGTAAAAATCAGACTAGGCGGATATTCACTCCCCCTCTCCACACCCTTGAGCAACAACGGCAAGAACGTCTGTGAGAAAAGCACCTAAAGATGGGTGTACGAAGTCAGTGTTTGTCTCACATGCACTCCGTACATCGGCAATTACTCACCCCACCCATCCCACTAACCCCCAAACTCCTCTCAAAAGTCTCCACCGGAATCTCCAAAAACGGCTTGCGCATAAACGCACCAGAAGCATTGAAAATCGCTGCTGCGGCTGCGACATCATCCCCAAACTCACTTTTTATCTTGGAGAGGGAAGAGGATAGGGATTGGGCGGAGGACACGTCTGTGGCTATGCCGAGGGCGTGACCGCCGGACTTGTTTATCTCTTCAGCGAGAGAAGAGAAGGATTCGGGGGTGCGGGCGAGGAGCACGACGGGGTAGGTTTGGCTGAATTTGCGGGCGACGGAGGCGCCGGTTCCGGGACCGACACCAGCAACGATAGCGATGAGTTTGGATTTTGATGCCATAGCTGTGTGTATTGGGTGTTGAGGTTTGGGAACGGGTTTGAGATAGGGATGTTGGCTGGGTGGGTGTGAAGGGGATCAGTAGTCGAGGAGGATGGGTGTGCTATGTAACGAACAAACGTAATAACAGTCTTTATATCTTGCTACAGTCCTCGGTACCTAGGTTCTTGTTTAGTAAACCGACTCTCGATTGGAAATGGAGATGTTGTAAGGCTGGTTGCATAACATGCGGAGATAGCTAGAGCGCGAGGTGCGTCATGATTAATAAGCCACCCCTCTCTCACATGTCCCCCATTAATGCACTATACACATGCATACTCACTCGCAGCGCCCAAGGGCAAGTCTGATTTAACGTAACTTCGTTGATGCATTACTTTGATCTATGCAACTCATGTCTTCATCACGAATCTCATGGCAACATCCATCTACGCCCTCCCCGCCCTACCCACCTGGATCATCTCCCCAGTAGGTTTATCGTCGCTCCTAAGGACCGGCCAGCTAGCTCCATCCGCCTTGACCAGCGTCATCTCGAGCTTGGTGCCTAGTATCCTGAACTTGCTCTCTTCCGGCTTGATAGTCGAGAAGAGAGGGAATTCAGTCTGGTAGCGCTTGCTGTCTGAGGTGGGGAGATCGAGCTTGACGTGTGTGGGTTGGAAGTCGACGACGGCGGTTGCTTTGTCGATTTTCTTGAGGTAGAGGGATGCGACGACCGAGGTGGCGGTTTGGTAGTAGTCGTGTCTGGGGGGTGGGGTTAGTAGATGGTCTTGTATGGTCTTAATTGGAGACGTACCGAACTGTCTCTAGTTTCTCCTCGCCCTCCTTCTTCTTGCCGCTGCCGATGAACAAATGTCGGTCTTTTGTCTTGCACCCCTCAATCTTCATGAACTGATCAAACTCCATGACCCGCCTCTTACAGCAACTCCACCCCTTGCTGCCCTCGTGGAAGATGGGCGCACCAGGGTGGTGTATGCAGCTCTCTCCGTCCCTATCGCCTCCCTTGTGTGTCGCGCCACATCCTTTCCGCCGACATGTCATGCCCTCCTTGATCTCCAGACTCGGGTCGTCGTCTTCGGATTCTGGCGGCGGCGCCGGTGAAGCGCTTGGCTTGGGCGTGGCTTGTGCGGTGGGTAATCGGGGAGCGGGCGCGGGGAGGGATTCCTCGAGCGATCCGAGATTGACTTGGGTGTCATTGGGCACGTCGGGGGCTTTGACGGGCTCAGGCTTGGGCGTGTCGTCAACGTCGGAGTGCTTGCCCTTTGTGCACGGCTCGATTGCGAGGAACTCGTCAAAGGTCAAGACGCGTGGTTTGCAGCATTCCCAGCCTGGGGAATCGCATTAGCACCTTTTCTGGTCTTGGTGATATACGCGTTGGTGGTGCTGACCTACCTTTCTGCCCCTCATGGAATTTGGGTGGGCCGGGATGGTAAACACACTCTTCGTTCTCGTCCTCGTACGTCTTGCCGCAGCCCTTGTGAACACACTTCTTCGCCATGATTGTCGATTGCTGTGAATAACGCGCTTAACGAGTGGAGAGAAAGGTCGGATGCGCGCTGCTTGTCGTGTTGCGATGCCCCAGATTTTGTTCCGAACATTCTGGAAATCAGCCGTCATCATAGGGTCCAAGCGCGAAGCTTAATCGATATCCTGGCCGTTGAAGCTTTCCATCTTCGGAATTGCTGTCGCGTCAACACGAGTTCCCCCGTCTGTACTGCACGCTCGTAGTCATCGGTACTGAGAGTGCGTGGGTTGTCAACACGTCGCCACCATGTTCCGCGCCACATCCCGCCTGCTCGCTTGCCGCGTCACCTTCTTCACCCGAACCCCATGCGGCCTGTGCGACACGGCTAAAGCAGTCGTGCAGAATGTCAAAGTAAAGCGGCCATTTGATTACGAGGAGATCAATGTCATGGACGCAGGGCAGGAAAAGTGGAAGAGCGCGTACGAGTTTGATACTCCGGTGGTAAGCCGACCCGGACCACGGGTCTATCTATATATGCGTGTAATGCACAGAGTACCTGAATGTTCAACCAGATCCACATCGACAAAGCCGAAGCTAAGGATACGACTACTTCGTCGCTGAAGCTTATGCATCGTTTCAAGGAAGAGGACGTGATCAAGGTCTTGGATCAAGCTGAGCAATCCTGAAGCCTCATCACATCTACCTAAGCCAGACTTCTTCTCCATCTGCAACCGCTCGCTACATTCTCCGCCATGTTATGTCGAAGGCGCGTGGTGGAAAAGAGCTTTTACCCGTTTGGTCGCTTGATCGAATAGACCTGTCTTCGGTCTCCCAGGCCCATCTGGTAGGCCATTTGTATCGCTCTTCTCCTCCACCACCATAGTCGCAGATGGCTCTACCTCCGCATCTGTCGGCTCCTCTTCCTTCTTCTTCAACACCTGCCACTCATCCCCCCTCTCCTCCACAACCACATTCCTAACCCTCCTCCCCCTCCCGCCATACCCCTTCTGATTCGACACAACCAACACCCCCGTCCCCTCATCCCTCCACGCACAACTGTAATGCGTATGTCCAAACGCCCATACCTTCACTACCGGCGACGTCCAACACACCTCCCTTGACAAATCAGTCACGAACCCCGAATTCATCGAACTAGCCGCGTGCCGCGGATCCGTCGCGCGGGCATCAACAGTCGGGCAGTGGTGTGTCGCGACGATCACGCTGCGATGCGGTTCGTTGGCTTGGATATGTTGGACCTGCGCGTTAAGCCACTCCAAGTCCTGCTCATGTTCTTCACAACTTCTTTCCGGCGACCAATTATGTATCCCGCGCTCTTCATTGTAATCCGTCATCCTGGACCCCACCTCGGCGGCCTGCTCGGGTTGTATGTTGCTCCAGAGCGTACAGCCCAATATCGTCACTTTCTCACTGAGATCATACCGATCGCGGCACAGCAGACGAAAACGACCGCCGTATTCCCGCCTCGCCAAATTTTCGAACTCCCGCATTCGTTCGACGGCATGCTCGAGAGTCGTGTGGTACGCTTCGTGGTTGCCAATGACGTAGAAGATACGACATCCGCGGTTCTGGTCAAGGAGATCGCACAAAAAGACAAAGAGGTTTTCGTGGATGACTAGGCCTATGTCTCCTAATAAGAAGAGTGCGCTGCCGGTGACTGTCAGGTTGACGTTCAAGTACTGTGGGTTGTTCACGGGGGTTTCAAGGTGGAGGTCGGAGACGATTTGGAATTGCGGCGTGAAGAAAGTCATCTTGGAGTTTCGTGTGTTGTGTGTGGTGTGAGCGGTTGTTCGAGCGAAATATCTTGATGGGTCGAGAGATGCGCTAGTAACGGGTTTGTAGTTTCCAAGGTTAGTAGTGGGCTCTTTGGGTGACCAATCGACGGTTAGGCGATATAAGACATGAAAGTCAGGCACGACCACGAAGAGATCCTTTCCTCGCGTGCATCAAGCATCACAGTCCCGCTCCAAATCCTCACACGCTCCACCAGCCACCTCTTCCCATCGACCCCATCTCTTCGACCGGCACAAGGCGCTCAGCCAGGACACGATACGGCTCCGGGTTCCAGAGCCCTTCACGAGGCAGTCTATGCCAAAGTAATGCGATGGCTTCACCACGGGTGGCGGGGTGACGGCAGCGGAGGGCTGTGAAGTATCAAGCGGGGACTAGGGATGTGTCGAATGTGAGGATTCCGGCGGCGCTCAGACGGAGAACTTGTGGGCGTGAGGGTATTGCGACGGTCATGCCGTCGACGAGATGGGTAGCATGACGAAGAATCGCTTTGAAGCTGCCGAGATGCGCATCGAACGGTCTTTAACGCGCGGAGTGCACACACGCTGCCTACCCAAGTACCCGCGCAGACTGGGGCTCGTTACGAGATACGCAGTTTGATCGCCGAATGAGCCCGGTGGCCCTTGGCCTCCGTCACGTCAATCGCGAACGCGCACTGCCTAACACCTAGGCTTGGCTTCGATGCATAAAGATGCGCATTGTAAACGGTTCCTTGCAGTACTTACGTGCGGGCGTATTTCGTACAATAGGCCGTTTAGCGATTGGCTGTGAGACTAGGCTCTGGCGCTCGTTGCGGGGCGGCCAACGGCTGCCGAGATGCGATTCGCAGAGTGCCGTGCCTACGTCTCTGTCTTTCGCACTGGACACTGAGGGGCCTTCTCCGTCTTTCGCGCTCGAGCCTGAGAGGTCTCCTCGCGAGGATAACCTTGGGGATGGATCTTCGGTAACGGTGGTTTGACCCACTTGGTACGACATACGAGCGGGACGGAAACATCCGACGGTTCTGACGGTTCTGGATAATGGCTGGGAACGTCGCGGGCGGCGCAGCACGGCGGTGAGAACGGCGACTTGATGCTTTACCAGAATAATATCGGAGATTGCATCACCAAGCTCTTGGTGGGTAGGCGTATTTCGGAAAGGATGAAAGAGACTGACGATCTCTAATATATACTCAGGTATGTGATAACCGCTCTACTTTTCGTCGCATTAGTCTACCTTCACTTCATTCATTCCCTTCCTACATTCGTTGAGTCCTTATTGAGGACTTCCACCGTATCATGGGTTTCTCTCAACTGGCCCTGCTGGCTTGCCTGACAGTTGCAGAAGCGGCAACAACACCAAGATCCCAGTCACTGCATCCTGTGCAACGAGCAAACGACAGCCTGCCGGCGATATTTGGTTCAAATGATACCACCACCCTCAAAGGGACGACTACAGCCCCGGGCGTAGTTATCCTCGACTATGGGGCCAATGTCGAAGGCCATCCCACCTTCGAAGTCCTTTCAGCTACTGGCGACACTTCTGGTCTAGAGATCACATATAGCGAGACTAAAGCGGTACTAGACAGTTTCTACACCGTAAGTCTTACACCTCAAATGCTTGAAACTCATACTGAATCATATTGTAGAGCGATGGTCCAATCGCTTTGGCCGCAGCTATGGACACGTACAGAGTCAACCAGTACAATGTGACTGAGCCCATGATACATACCAATCGACTCATCCAGGGTGGCTTCAGATACCAGAAGCTCAACCTCTCGACAACAGGGGAACTGGTCTTGAGGAACGTCGGTGTGAGGCCTACGATTCCGAATATACCCCTTGATCAACTACCGGGATACTTTGAGACATCGGACGAAGAGCTCAATCGAATTTGGAAGGTCGGAGCGCGGACAGTTCAACTAAACGACATCCCTGCGCACTCCATCCCGGCGTTCTGGCAGGTCTCCTCCGAAGGTTCTCTGGTAGAGAGTCAGGCACCTCAAGTTCTGTCAGGCGGAGCCGCTGCTGGATTGATGAGCTATCAGCTTGCATTCGAAGTCAAGCCCATTTCCAAAGGGCTAGGCTTCTCTGTACTGGCTGACACTCTCAACTCCGGAATCTACATCTTCTGCAACATTGCCAATGGATCGATCTCAGCACACTTCGGATCCACGGAGGATTCTCCTCCACTTGCATTCGCAGAATTGCCAGCAAACATAACCCTTGGTAGCTGGCACAAGGTTGAAGCCACTGTGGATACGACTGGCATCGCGGTATCCTTGAACAAGGTTCCCGTTCTTCAATTTTCGCAGACTTCTGCATTTTTCGGTTCCTTTGGGTTGGGCGCGTCGTTCGGCCACTCTGCCGTTTTCCGTAACCTGTCTGCTACGACTCTGACAGGTCAATCGATCTATTCAGCCTCTTTGACAGATGAGGCTTTCCTGCCGGACTTCCTAATGGGAACAAACCCGCACGATACAACGGTTGACGGCTCGAAACGCGACCGCATTGCGTATGCAGGCGATCTCGACATTGCGCTCGTGTCCTCTCTATCGAGTACCAATGGTATCAGTTACATCAAAGGCACGCTCGATCTTCTTGGTTCCTTCCAACTGACCCCAGGATTCTTCGCACCCACAGCAAAGATCCAACAAGAGCCACTTTCCACCCCAGTCGATGCCAACGTCACTGGCCTGATCGGCTACTCTTTCAACCTCCTCACCGCAGCTGCCAACTTCTACATGCGCACCGGCGATGTCGATATGCCAAAGAAGTGGGCACCCAAAGCTGTACGCATGTTGGACTGGGCACACTCTCAAGTCCTGCCCGAAAGTGGGTTGTTGAACATCACCAACCCGTCCTTGGGCGGCGACTGGAACTATTACGATCCGTCACAGGCGGGTGTTGTTACCAAGTTCAACATGGTCTACGCATACGCACTCCAGGAGTGCATCAGACTCCTTGCAGACGGTGGCATCGACACCGAGCCATACATCACCCGCCTAGATGCTTTGCGCATCGCGATTGACCAGAACCTTTGGTCGAATGAACTCAACGCCTACTACCTCTCCCAGTCCATCGACAACAGCTTCGCACAGGACTCGAACGCTCTGGCCATTCTCGCTGGTGTGACTAGGTTCAACCACACCTCATCCCGCGTTCTGAGCACCCTCAAACAGCTTTCCACACCAAAAGGCCCTCTTGCTTTCTCGAACGGAACTATCGCAGCCGGGTTCTCGAAGTACATCAGTCCTTATGCAAGCGCCTACCACCTTCGTGCCGCATTCGAGGCCGATGACAACGAGACGACCATGGATCTGCTCAAAAGCCTATGGGCGCCCATGGCCGACCCGCAGGGAGCTAATTACACCGGATGCTTTTGGGAGACTTTGGACGCAGCTGGTGCGCCTGCACTGGGGAGGGGGACTAGCCTCTGCCACGGTTGGGCTGCAGGTCCCACTGGGGAGCTCAGCGATCATGTCTTGGGAGTCAAGCCTGTAGCTCCAGGGTACGCCGAGTGGCGAGTCGCTCCTGTTACGCTGGACTTGGAGTGGGCTAGGGGCAGAGTCCCCGTGCCGGGCGGTGAGATTTCCGTTGCTTGGAATGCTACAGGGCGTGTTATTACTAGGTTGGAAGTGATGAGCCCTAACTGCACTTCGGGCACGGTTGTCCTACCTCTGTCATCACGGGACGGATATGTTGGAGGTAGTTTTAAGGTAAATGGGGAGGTCGTGGCGAGAAACGCGACATTCAAAGTTACAGGGGGAAAGCCTTTTGTCCTTACGTATGATGTCTAGCCTCTGCAGTGTGGTCCAGCCCTGTTCCGTTGGCTGGATGCGGGAGTCGTACAAAATTGTAGATGTAATCAAAATTCTGATCCGACCTAGACTGCACTAGAAATTCTGTGAAGCAAGCGCATCGCGGCGAGATATTGTCCAGCGGACAGAAAGGCTGACCGTTAGTCTGTCATTTGTACCAGGATCGCATCTGCGGCCGTTGCTTGTACATCTATTCGGGTAAACAGGGTCTTCTGTTGGTAAGCTTTGGCAATGCCATCGCGGAGTGTGATGAGGATAGGTGGTGCGATAGCCACATGGCGTCGATGTTGATGACACGAGGTGGATGGGTCCACAAAATCCGGCAGGGCGTCGCATCCGCCGCAACTCGAACGCCCTTGACTCATCTCCTCAGGGGAAATGTCGACACCAACACGTTCAAAAGCCGATTTGTATGCAATAAAACATCGTCCTCATCTCCCTAACAGACATCTTCCTCAAGATCGTGACGTGTAAACGTAGCGAAGTTGCATTGCCGTTCCCCATCAACCCGCATCACCTAGCGCGTCCCAGTGTGGGGTAAACCTCTCCACGCGGCAGTACCCCTCCCGTATCTACAAAAGCCATGACGATACCACACGCCCTACGAAGAGCCACAACACTAAACATCCACCAAGCAAAACCCCACGCAATCTTTACAAGTCGTGTTTCTTTCTTCTCAGGAAACAAGCTATTCGCATCTCATCGCCGCAACATGAATACCCTGCAAGAAGCAAGCCGGGTATACAAGGCCTTCCAGAAAGGAGGGCCGACGTTCGGAGGATGGCAGGTAAACAACACACACAACATGAAGTTGACTTGATGTCAAGGCTGATGCTGTGACAGATGCTTCCAGGCACGAATCACGCGCGGGCAATTGCCCGTTCAGGCGTTGATTGGATATGCGTCGACACCGAGCACGGCAACATCAACGACAGCCAAATGCACGAAGCCGTAACCGCCATCGCCCACGCGGGCGTAAGCCCTCTCGTCCGCATCGCCGCGAACGAACCCTGGATGGTGAAACGTAAGTTACCCTTTGCCACCTACGCCTCCATCCCAAGGTCTCCAAGTGGAATCTGACACCACCCCAGGCGCCCTCGACAGCGGCGCCCACGGCGTCATAGTCCCGCTCATCTACACCGTCGACGACGCCAAAAAACTCGTTTCCTCTGCCAAATTCCCGCCAGAAGGAACGCGCGGCTTCGGCTCACCGCTACCAACCCAGTGTTTCTCAAATGAACCACTAACGTACTACCTGCGCCACGCGAACACTTCGCTCCTCACCATCGTACAGATAGAAACTGCGTCGGCGCTGGCCTGCTGCCGTGAAATTGCCGCCTTGCCCGGCGTCGATTGTTTGCTGATCGGACCCTTTGATCTTGGTAACAATATCGGTCATCCTATATTGACTCCGACCATGGATAAGGAGCTGGAGGAGGCGATTGAGACGATCAAGGAGGCGGCGCATGCGGAGGGGAAGAAGGTGGCGATGTATTGTAACTCGGGCGAGGATGCGAGGGGATATGTGGAGAGAGGGTTTGATATGGTTAGCGTGTTGACGGATCAGATGGGGATTACGGGGGCGTTTGAGCGGAGTTTGGGGGTTGCGAGTGGGAAGGTGGAGGGGAGTGGGGTCAAGGGGGTCAAGGGGTATGATGGGAAGTAAATGCGGAAACGATGTATTGAAGTGCTGATCCCACGATGGATTATCTACTTGAGACACCATGTTCTTGTGATAGAAGCACGATAGATGCAGTGATGTAGTCGCAAAGGCCGATTTGTATTTGCTGTAGATGGGTGTCGGAGGTCGCGAAGATGCTCAGGCGTGGCGTGACAGTACTCAAGCTAAAGCTACTGTAGAGCCGATACGCCACTCACACACCTGATTGTGCATCGTTCGGGTCGCCTTCTCCGTGTCTGACGAAACGACGTGTCGTCCTTAACGCATATGGCTTGATAGCATACCTGTTTGCCGCCTGCCGGAATCGATTCGAGGAAATCCCGTAGCAAACGATATTATCGATCCAATCTTGGTCCCACTGCTCGTCGCTCCAATCTTTGCGTTCGAACAAAAACGCATCTGAATCCCAAGGCTCACCTACGTCCCCTTCAAACTTGACGACTGACGAGCCTTCTACTATCTCGCGGATCATCTTTGCAAAGTTGGTGGGGAGAGCCGACCAGAAATAGTAATCCAGCGAATGTGACCTAGGAGGTGGGTCCTCTTTCAGAAGCCGATATTGCTCGAGTCGCGCCTCCTGTGTAGCCGCAGCGTACTTGATCAGTTTCCAGATCTCGGAGATCTCTCTGGTCGAGCCATCGATGACTAAGCTGAAGGAGTGGAATGGCATCCCGCATGACAAAAGGTTATACGCCTCTTCGATCCAAGGAATCAGTACCCAAAAACATTCCGTAGGTCTCAGCCAGTCGAATTCGTGATTGGGATCGAATGTATCGAACCATATGAAGCCTTCCGGAAGTAAGTTGTTGAACAAGTCGATGCGCCTTTCTATGTGAAGGTTTGGGTTCTCAAGACAGAAAGGAATTAGGCCGCGTGCATGGAGTTCAGGCCGAGACACCGATTTGAAGTTTTCGTTCAGTATGAGGTTGCGCAAGTTACACCTTCGTTGTGGTGACATCTGCCGTACTGTTGACGTTAGTGGATATCCGCTGGAAGGCACATCGGCAGTAGAAATATGGACTGTTCGACTTACAAAAGTCAATTGCGATCGATGCCGCAGAGAAGAACCATCGTTCCGCAGCTGCTATCATGTGGGTATCCATACCCGGAAAGTAGAAGATGCCCTCGTCGGTCATGGGAAGATCAGTGTCGGTGTCGCTGGGAAGGCAGATCAGGGATTCGAGCTTTGCCAGCTCGTCATCGTCCGGCATTGCCCATGGCTCGGGCTCCCAAGAATACACATCGTACAATGCGCCTTCGACGAACTTATTCATTTGCGATTCACCCGGGAGCCTATCGATGGGACACAGTCCCGCACCAAATGTCTCGCCAGCAAGCCTCGCAAACTCAGGACCGTTACGCTTTCTTGCACACAGTAGTGCATATTGAAGAGCCCTGTCGAATGCGCCAGCAGCTAATTCGCCTTCGTCGCCAGGGCCTTCAGAAGCAAGCAGGAGATCGGCCTGCTCTGCCACTGACCGTTGCAAAGGCTCTCTGAACCAAGCTTTGACCGATGGATAGCGAGTGTAGAGATCAAGGAAGTCCTCGTGTTGTAGCAGATCAAACACCTGGATTAGCATTATCCGCTTTTGACGCTCGGTGTATCGAAGCACTAAGGCAGATAACGTCAGTGAGAGAAGGATGAGAGTTCATGAGTGGATGTAGACTTACTGCATTTAAAACGGCCTGCTCGAGAAGCTAAGCCCATATAGGAGCGCCCGTCGTTGTAAGAGAGATGGGTACTGAAATGAATCTTCCTAAATACCATGTGCTTCAGCTCTTCATAGGCAATTCGACAAGTGATGGTTAGACCGAGGCGAACTGTTTGCCTTGGCTCAGTTGTATAGAGCATCTTGCCAGTTCCACTGTCGTAATGGTAACCATCGTCTCCAGTAACATAGTATGCGTAGATGACATCTCGAACTTCGCGTGGCAGACGGAACAGAGACGACTGTAACTGCGCGGAGTAGTAGTTTGTTCGTGGGGCGGTCATGAACGGGAAACCGTTCCAGAAGGCGAATTTCTTGGATGCCATGACTTTTGCAGTATCGTGTACGATATTGAGGTAGGCGAAGGCGAGATCTTATACTGCAACGACATTGTAAAAGAGGCTGCGTATGACTGTACCCGTACCCTGGTTGAGTGGACGCTGTGGAGGACTCTGGTTCGCGCGGCGGACGACCGATCGTTGAATGGCTGGTCTTGGTCCGTGCTGCCAGTCGTGACTCAGGCGTCATGGTCGATTCTGGGCGAGCCACCATATCGGCGCACCGGCAACCACATAGCTGCGTCGCGTTGCAAATCGATGATGTCACGTCACATAGAGTAAAGCAGTCACAAAGCTTCGACAACTTGGGCTTTGATTCAAAGGATGCTGCTGCGCTAGCTCTGCCCACCCACATCCCCCACGCACGCCCCCGCACGCGCTCTCTCGTTGCCCCAAGTTGTACCCGACCTCTCCAGTGTCGGATCGACACCTGCCGCCCGAGCGAAAAGACGCCTCAGCGTCCAGCAACAATCTTCCCACCAGCACCACCATGCCTCCCGCTCCCCGCCTCCACCGAACGTACCCGCGCTGACGACATGCAACGGCCGGAGACGCGTCCACCACACCTTGTTTCCAACTCTTGACCTTCACCATCACCATCGCCATCACCGGTCACCGGTCACCAGTCACGCCGCGTCCGCGCTACGAGGCCGCGACGCCTTGTATCCGATCGGAGAACGCGTCCATCTCTTTGACCATCGCCCACCATCCCACGCCCGAGCTGAAGCCAGACTCAGCACCTGCCGCTGCCGCCCTCCAGTCTCCCCCATCGCCGCTCGCCTGCGCGTCGCGGCGCTCACCAAGCAGCGCCGTCTTGCATCCGCCGTTGCGACGCTGACAAGTGCCACGCCGTCCGGCCGCGATATCGACATCGGCATTGCGCAGCCACTGCGGCTTTCGTCGAAGAGCCGATTGCTCTGGAGCACACGGGCTTCGCGGGGAATGTCGCATTGGCTCTGCTCACAGCCCCGAAAGACTGGAACAGGTTCGTGGCCCTCGCCTCGGACAGGCTGCAACTCTGAGGCGCCATCCGGACCGACCTGTGTTAGATCAGCAGTGGATGCCTACCCACCAGGTGGGTAGGACTTTGGGCAGAGGTTCTTGGAGATGCGATACTTCTCTCTTCGTAGAGTATCTCCTCGCGTATGAGTCGTATGGAATGCGGGAGGTGTGGTTGGCTCGCTGCAAGCTGCCTGTCAGCCTTTGCCTTCAGCACCCGCCTTTTTCCAATGGCACTTACTCGTCTCTGGGTCGCCTCTGGGTCATCGCAGTACCGTGGGATGGCGATGCTGAACCATGGGCTTCGAATTCCGCGCACACAGCGACTGCTCGCGCAAGAGTTAGCTTCATGCTAATCTGTCATGGGAGTCGAGAGATCCAACGGCGCCCGGGCGACGATTTGGACGGCTTCGACCGCCAATGGAGGGCGCTTTGACGACAACCGGAAGGCGCTTTGCTGGCGATTGAGGGGGCCTTTGACGACGATTGGAGGACGCCTTTGACAGCGATGAGGGGCCGCTTTCGACAGTGGTTGGGGGACGCCTTCGACGGCGATTGGGGGACGCTTTCGACGACCATCTGGTGATGATGGATGTGGGACGTGGTCGAGACTTACTGAGTCAAAGGGGGGAGTATATAAAGCTGGCCACCGTCAGTCAGCATGTCGACTTTGCGAGAATGAGTAACGTACTGACCGCACTGCAGTGTCTTCGTTGCTTCCACAACACACACACAACTACCAATTAGCGACACCGTCCACGTTTGCGCAGCAGCCAAGAAACCTACTCATGCCGCTCACACCCTTCTCCTTCGCGATGGTGATCATCCTCACGATCATCCACCTCAACGTCCACGCTCGCCCAGCCCACCCCACAACCTCGCGTCTCGCTAGCGAGCTCGTCGCAAGGACACTCGGTGTCTATTGGCAACCTTGCCCATCACCCTTAGCTCAAAGGATGCGAAATACAACTAGGGACGATTAGCACAGTGCTGATCCGAGAAGTTTGGCGACGGGGACCTACGGTTGTACTTGCTCTTCCTGAGCACTCGGATGGGTATGTGCGATGCTTGTCTGTCAGATGTGCTGCTTACTGCTAGTTTGATCAGCACGTGTCCATACTGCACTCGTCAGGATTGTCTTACCTTGTGTAGGGATGACTCCAGCAGCCAGAGCCTTCCTTCTAGCTGAGAGATCAGCTATACAAGGCCTGCTCCTTCGCCTTCAACAACACGCCTACGTACCCACTCCGGCAGAGACTGCCTTCATAGGCCAGATCAGCTTCTGTGGCGACGACGAACGACTAGAACAGATAAATTAGCCTCGTTCGTCACATTGGCGATCTAAGGTGCACTTACCATGCAAGGACCAATATCATCCTCGCACCTTACGGTCTGCGAGTCCCGATACGGTATGGGGTTTGAGCTGCTCGGGCTGTCTGCTTTTCCTGTTAGTCTAATTCGCTTGCAGAGTGTGTGGCGCGTTGTCTAGATAAGACATACCACTTCGCACAAGGAAACCACCGAACAGGCCCAAGGCCTACATCAAGACAACAACACACAAAGAACAGGATGTGTAAACTAACCTTGAGACAGCAGGAACTGGCATGTGGAAGGTGACATCACTTGGCATAGAAACCAGAATTGAGCAATGAATCGTATTTTGGAACGAATTTGACGTATTTGATCGTATGGGGCCGAAGCTGAGGAGGCACAGGATGAATTGCGCTATGGACGGATCTCTATACTACAAGCACTCGCTACAACCTCATATCACGCCCAGCTCAGCCTAAACCGCCACTACCACGGCCAGATCGAGGTCTGCCTCATCTAACTACGATCGCTCCCGACGTCGCCTGCTTGCAATAGAACGAGAACGACGACTCACTCCACCACACCGTCCACCGGCGACGACGACACTTCACAACCACGACACTCTCCGTCAGCTATTACACATCCATGGCTATCCATGACCCTCCCCATGCCCATCTCCAGCGACATTCACACGCCCATAGCTAATCACACGCCCATCGCCATTGACATCCAAGCCCCTATCGCCATCCATGCGTCTAGCACTGCCCAGCACCATCCATGCGCGTCCATCGCCATCCATGCGTCCATCGCCATCCATGCGTCCATCGCCATCCATGCGTCCATCGCCATCCATGCGTCCATCGCCATCGCCATCGACTACCACACGCCCATCGCCATCCACACGCCCCTCGCCATCGACACTCAAGCGCCTATCGTCATCCATGCGTCTAGCACCACCCAGCATCATCGCTGCGTCCACCGCCATCCATGCGTCCATCGCCATCAACATCCAAACGCTCATCGTCATCAACATCCACACGCCCATCGCCATCGACATTCAAGCGCCTATCGCCATCCATGCGTCTAGCACCGCCCAGCATCGCTGCGTCCACTGCCATCCAAACGCCCATCGCCATCAACATCCAAACGCATATCGCTATCTATGCAACTAGCACCGTCCAGCACCCTTGCGGCGTCCATCAGCATCCACACGCGCATCGCCATCCATGCGTCTAGCGCCGTCCATCACCCTCACTGCGTCCATCATGATCTACAAGGTCATCCCGCTCCGCAAAGTCACCCTACTTCGCCCATCCACTCAGTCATCGCCCTCCTCTGGCTCCTTGATCAAATCCAACATGTTCTTCCTCGTCCACTCTATCTGATCAACCGGAAAATGCTCAAGAACATACATAGCCACAAGCTCAGGCGCCTTCTCAATGATGTCTCTCTTCATGTCGGCGTAACTCGTAATAGATGGTACGGTAGAGAACACCTCGTTGTACAGTTCTTGACGCTCCTTCTTCAACGCGGGACAGTAATGGAGAAGGTGAGTGATCGTCTCGTAATGGCTGTCGCGACCCTTGCACTTGCGACAGTGGGAGTCGTCGATGTCGGAGCCGCACAGCTCGCGCCGATGGTGGAGAAGACCGATATACTCGGTACGGAGGCCGAAGAGGAGGTAGTCAAGGGGCCTGCTCAGATTCCCGTACCGCTTGACATTCTGCCGGCTCCACGTGGTTCGCAAAGCCGCAGGGACGACTCTGCCAGGATACGCCTTGACAAACTCCTTGAGCCTCGCCTGACGCCAGTACTCGTAGTGGTTCGTGACGACCTCGTCGCTCCACGCGTTCGAGTTGGCTTTGAGTCGAGACTTCAATCGCTGAGGCCGTGAATCGTCGACTTCATCGCCGTCCTCATCCTCGGGAGGAATGCCCACGGTGGCGTGGAACTCTGCCACAGCGTCTGCACCGTCTGGCGAGATGGAGCCATCGGCGACATTGTCCTCGGAAGAGTCTTCTTCGAATGTTGCCCGTTTCCTCTTGCGTTGCTTCAGAGTCTGAGCCCGAAGTTCGATGTCGGCTTCCGCAGTCTCTTTCCACTTGGCTGCCTGCTCTTCCAGTGTAGTCATTGGCTCGACAAAGTTGTGGCCGCGGCCTTCGCGAAGGTCACGATCAGGGTCGACGTAAACCTTTCGCGCATAGTCTCGCACTCGATTCCTAGCGGATACAATGGTGTCCCACTCTGGAGTCCCCATGATGTTCGCACGCGTAGTCATGTTCGAGCGATATGCGAAAAGGTCCAGCGGTTCAAGAGAGACCTCGGCACGGCGGAACCAACGAGGCGTTCTCGCGAATGAACCGATCACCATGCGCGTGAACTTGTCGCCCATCTCCTGAAGTCGATTCTGTCGCTTGAGTCGGACAGAGTTTGGCGTGTAATACGGCCTCAAAGAGCCAGCCAGGGTGTAGATCCCGGAGTCATCCTTGACGGAGTTCGGTTGGTAGGGCTCGTCAGAGGGCTTCCGAAGGAACCAAGGGTCGTCGCAAAACTCCATCCACGCGATAGATCCGGATAAGAGCGCCGCTCGGGCACCAGCCTTGAAGACGTGCGAGGCGTCTACGATGCACAGACCGTATGTTGACTTGACGATCCGGCTGAACTCTGTCACCAGCTCGTCGAACCTCTTCTCAAGATGACGCCAATGCGCTGCCCATGTAAGGTTGCCCTGGGAATCGACTGCAAACCGTACACCAAGGATGGTCATGTAGTCATCGTCACCGGTGGTCGTACAATCGAACTCTAGTTTGTCGTTGAAACCAGGAATGTGCTTCGACATCGGCCTGTCGTTGTTTTGGGCTGGTGAGGCGAAGTGGATGATCTTGGTCTTGTGTGCACCGAAACTTGCGCCTGACTCTTCCGCCCATGCCAGGCATGCCCTGTATTGACTAGCAAGCACTGGCTTGATCTCCGCGAGTGATGTTCCGATGACGACGATGTACGTGTCATCGGAGTAAGCAAACTTGAAGACACGCCCCACTTCGCACTCCAGCTCTACCACCTCGAGTAAGAAGCAAGTGAAGATAGCGAAGAGGATGGGCGAAAATGGACTCCCTTGTGGTAGACCACCGCATCGCATCGGCGCAGACTCGAAACCAGGGATACGGATAGTAGTCCAACGTCCACTGAGCCAAGACTGCGTGATAGAGATAATCCATTCCGGAACACCCTTGGCACGAAATACACGAAGAAGTTCCTTGAACAGAACAGCGTTAAACGCCGTCCGTTGGTCCATACACATGACGGCGAGAGCTAGGTTGGATCGCCTCGCCATTTGGATGAGTTCGAGAAGCAGGAGTAAGGCCATGTTGATGGAGCGGCCTCTAGCTGCGAACTGTGTACTCGGCAAGAGCTTAAAAAGACGGACATATCCGGCTAATACGTCTGCTAGATAAGACTCGAGCGTCTTCCCCAGAGTCGACAGAAGACAAATTGGTCGAAACTGATTCGCCAGGTCGTAGATCATTCCAAGTCCGAATTTAGCGATGGGGATGGTTCTGCCAATCTTGAAGATGTCGGGGATGAAGCACAGCCGGAGGCAAGCATTCCAGAGATGTGTGAGATACGTCATAAACAGCGGACCAAAGGTCTTGAGAAACCGAGGGCCAACTTCATCATAACCAGCCGCAGTGCGCTCCTTCAAATTCTTGAAGATCATCTTCAACTTGGCTCGTTTCATCGTCTGCAATGGGCAAAGGGGTCCCCTCGCTCCGGACGTCTCCGTGTCACAAGACATCGGCTCGTCGTTTGGTTGAACGTCTTGCTCGGGGCCATACCAGGCTTCGCGAAGGGTCGAAACCTTCTCGTGTGCACTGCTCGTTCGCCCGACAACGTTGCCATGTTGGTCTAGCACGCGGAGATTGGGCACGGTCACAGGCGCCCGGGCGCGCCCTTTGCGCTTGGTATAGCGGAGCCATGCCCACTTCGAGACACCTGCGAACGAGCTTCGCCACTGTCTGCGGAACTCAAGGTCTCGAAGCTTCCGCAGCCGATCGTCCAGGTGCGACCATTTGCGCTGTCGTTGGTGGTACGGAGCGAAGATGGCTTTTCGGAGACTGCGTTGATAGTCGTAGCGTTTGTGCATGCGACGCGATAGACGATGCGCCGTATCACGTTCGAGACCTGCGGCTTTGGTCTGGGCTGCGAGCTTGCGTATCTCGGGAGTGTCGGTGTCGTAGCGTAGACGCGTCGAATGAACATGACGCGGTATGTGGGTTTCCTGGAGTTGTTGGAGGGCGGCGACAAAGTTTTGTGCGTGGTCTTGAACCTGCGAGCGAGTGTCCATGGGTAGCTTCTGCGCGGCCTGCACGTGGTCTTTGATACCGGTTGTGATTGCGCCTTCGTTTGCTTTGTTCCAGTTGCGACCCAGGACGGGTTGAGAATCGGTGAGTACCTTGCCGGTGGTCTGCATAGGTACGTGGTCCATCCCACCCATGATCAAATCATTCCTCAACTTTGCCGTGTCGCACTCTAGTTCAGGCGAGGCCATGGCCAGGTCGACGATAGAGGACAGGTACCCGTTTGCCCACGTGGGCTCTCCAAATGTGTTGGTGAGTAGCTGTAGACCGTAGTCATAGATCTGCTTCATGAAGAGCTTCGTACGGGGTTCGGCTCTGGGTCTAGGCTTTAGTAGATCCTTGTCCCAGTCGCTGTCGTGCATGTTGTAGTCGCCTGCGTCGAAGTGGTAGCCTACGTAATGGAGATGGGCCGTCAAGCAATCCACGGGTATCTTTTCGCTGGTGCGGTTGTAGGTGTTGGTGACAAAAAGCCGGCCGCCGTCGGGCAAGTCGTAACAAACGGTGCATATGTGCTCTATATGCGACTCTCGAGCCTCGCCGGAACAAGAACAGTCTTCTTCTTCGAGGGGGACGTACTCGGGTACGCCAAGAGGACTGTTCATCCTGGCATAGACACAAGTCGAAATGTTTCTGCCAGGCTGCTCACGTACACGGCTCATCTTGATCAGAGCATAGCCGTACGAGCGCTCGCTCAGCTTCTCCGTACTCCGATTGGCTTCCTGGATGAGAATGAGATCCCAGTGGTCTTCCTTGGCCCCATGCTGCAGCAGGCCTTGCTGGCCATCGTAGCAGCCGTTGACGTTGGCCTGCAGGAAAGTGAAATCTCGCTTCTGTGGCAGCGAGGGTTTAGAAAACCACATGGCCGCGGCGTCGGAATGGGAAGAAAAGAGGATCGAAGGATGACTAGACGATAGTCTGAGTAGAGGACATTGATGCTCGTCCCTCAAAATAATGGAAAGTAGATACTTGTCGCTACATGAGTGTCCATAGCCGTCGCATAAGGGCCTTTAAGTGCTACTACGCGCACGACGATGCTGCCTTCACGTGGTATACGCGAGGGCTAGTAGCGAGCCGAGCTCTACCCAACGTACACCGACGACGGTCTCCCCTGTGGAGCTCACCGCCCACCAAGAGGCCGGCTCTCCATGGCTGATGGAATTTTACATTCTCGGCGTAGCTGCGTCGTCGTAGCCAAATGGGGCGGTGAGAGTGTCAGAAACTGTCGTATGCCCGAATATTTGCTTTTTGATGTTAGGCTACCCGGTGAGATCTCGGGTTCCCGGTCGTTCTGGCGGCACAGTGCCAGCTTCTTCTCGCGCATCTTCTAGTCTTCACGCTAGAACTCTCATGCATATCATTGTTGAGTTCGGATAGAATACCCACTTCGGCAATGGATCTTGCAGAACCCGAGATTATCGACGAGTATCCGTCGGACATCTGGCTGCGCATCTACTCCTACACGCTTAAGCGTTGGTATGTCGTTAACTCTAGAGCGTGGCCGAGCTTCAAGCACTGACAATGACGTGGCAATCATCCGATATTACTCGCCGTACAGAGCAAAAAGGACGTTCTCTCGTTCGGAGGCCGGTTTGGGCTGAAACAGATGTGGTAGCAGTAGCAGTAGTAGCAGTAGTAGTAATACAGCTGATGTGGGTGCGAACTGAGCTGTGCAGCATTAAAAGACCAGGGAATCAACACGTTCGGTTGTCAGCATCCTTTCACTTCCCACGCATTCCAGTATCGATCAACTCTACAACTATGGCTCCTCGTGGTCCTCGTACTCCTCGTGCTCCTCGTGCTCCTCGTACTACCCGCCTTACATTTCCAGCTCAACGATGCGGAGTTCGAGTCCACATATCGAACACCGATCTTGCCACTCTTTTAGACAGGCGAGATTACAGCCAATTTCTCATCTCGACTATGCGTGCCGCAGGGGAAGGCTACAACCAGGCCGCAGCTATTGAGATCAAAGCCAACGAAATACACTTCAACACGACCGACATCAGCAAATCCGAAGACCTGTTCAAAGTGCTGAAGAAGCAAGTTCCAGCTTCTCTGGAGTTGGATTCTACTGCCAAGTGCTGCGGACTGATCCAAGAGGAGTACATGCTCGTAGTTACCGGTTACCCTGTACCAGCCAATGGCGACAAAACCAAGGTCGTCGCCCAGGCTAAAGCGGAGCTTGAGAGCCACTTCAAATTGAAGAAGGATCAAATCACAGGATATCGGTCAGTCGGTAGCCAGGACGTACACCTCACTACTTGCAATCTCGACGTTTTTGCCAAGATCCGGGATGCTACAAACGACTTCACACGACCATTGATGATCAACTATGGCCGTAAGTTTTCGTCCGACATATCGTAAACATGACCACTAATAGGTTCTCAGTGCACGAATTCATACCTACCACGAAAGAATGTCAACGTAACCAATGCTACAACTGTCAAGGCTTTGGGCACAGGTCAGAGCGAGACACATTGGACAGTTGTGAGCGCGAACCAGCTTGTTCACGGTGCTCGAAGTCACATGATGGGAAATGTGGCGTCCCCTATGAAAACCGCCTCGACAAACGTTGTATCAATTGTATCGAGTACAACAAGACGGCGAGTGCGGACGATCAGCTCCGTATCAATCACGAAGCTACGAATATCGCCCGGTGCAGACATCCAAGTGCCATCGAAGAGCACCTCCGCGTGGAGGAGTGCAAGAGGCAGGTCGCCAACGGGCAAGTGCATTGGCTGGAGGTTTTGAGAGCCACTACTTCGGACGCGCCAACTCGCAAGAGGAAAGCCCCTGGAGATACCGGAGGCTCGAGCCAACCTACTTCGAAGCGACGCCAAGTTGCTACCCCACGCCAAACCCAGAATTCGACCGCGTCCGCGTCCGCGTCGGCTTCTGCGCGGAGACCTGATGGGGTAGCGGACAGTCATCGCACTGCATCAACTCAGCTTCCAACGTCATTGGCTAGCAGGTTAGCTGCTGAAGACGCTGCAAGATTTTTAGCAATACAGCAGTTGGCTGATGGTCTTGACGACAACGATACGAACGAGCGCGATGACGAAGGTCGCGATGCCGATGACGATGCCGATGACAACGCCAACAACGACGCCAACAACAATACCAACAACAATACCAATGACGATGCCAGTAATGATGAAGATGACCGTGACGAACATGAAGACAGCGGAGAGGAGTTGAGTGCTGGAGATGATGATGAAGATGACGAGGATTTTGAGGATGCCCCTAGCGATCCAACGGTGCGCCACAGCGGACAACATCAAGATCGCCCCACCATGACTGAAGCAGGTTTCAGGATGATTACTTTCCACACGACGCAGTCCAAGACTCCAAACAAAGTGTAGTTAGCTGTATGTATTAGGCAATGAATGTGTCACCGAGTTTGACTTTGCTTGCACCGCATCCTTGGGCTATCATAGAGTTGCACTCGCCGTACGTAGATATTATCCATGCTGTTGAACCTAGCGCTAGAACAGATGCATACGTTTGCATGGCATGGTCTTATACGGATGGCTGTTCGCCTGATATGTTATCCTAACGTTGTACTTACTTAGGTGACATAACCTCCTATGCTCCGCGGCGCATGATGTCATACCCACGTAGGTGCAAGCCAAAGCGTAACACTCCCGAGGTCTCACTCTCGTGCGCAAGACTTCATTGATCGTGGAAGAGATCACAGGGCGCCTTTGACTCAGACAGCGGTCAGGTTCGGGCTGGTGTTAGGTAGTTGCCCTCGGAAGCCTAATCTCTGGCTAGAGAGCATCATCAAGCTCCAGGCATAGAGGTCCGGAACAAGACCTCATCAGCATACGTAGATACGTCTTGATAGAGCGGTACGACCATCTAAAAGCAATACACGTATCCAGTCCTTCCAAGGTTTGCACGGCTTGCGAGCTTCACGTACCATGGACTATGGGTATATATTTACGGGGAGTAAAACAGTCTTGGATGATGCGCGCCCGCATGGTTATCTCTACATGCCTGGGTAGTATCGATGATGGTGGTTTTCGTTGAGTGCACCTTCCGGTAGGGCTACATACTCAGGGCCACAGGTGACTTGGCTGTCACAACACCAGGCGGAGTGGCGCACATTGCCGCCCACGATCCTTGGTGCCTCAGATATCTAACGTCTACCAGCGTCATACCTGGGTATCGAAGACCGAAATAGACCTTCGCTTCCCAACTTGGACAACTGATGCACGCGAACACACTACTTCCTTGTTGCCGATCTTGCACACCACACTGTCGGTCCAAATCAGTACCCAGGTAATGCCGGCACGCGCGCGATGTCACTTGCCGGTCAATGCAGGTGGTATGCAGGTACCACTGCCCCTTTCCGCCCTCGCTGCAAGACACGACTGAACGACCCTACACCTTGATCAAGCGGCGGGTGGATGGGTGGGTAATGGATCGGCAAGCGGGCTCAGAACTACCCCGACCGTAGATCCTCCCCCGTTCATCTAGCCTGCCTCCGTGCAGATGCCACGCCATAAAAAGCAAGCTCATACCGCAACTTCTCGAACACAAACGGTGAACATCAGGCGACGAAGCCATCGACCCCACCGCAATAATGCGACTTGCGCTTTCCAAGTCAACAGTTTCGGCTCTTCGTTGTCCACACCGCTCTACTCTCGGCATGGCCCACCACTGGCAACGGAAGAGAGAACACGCCTTCGACTCAGGCTTGCTCCGACTCGCATCCGGCTCGAAAAAAAGAGTGCTCCGGTAGTAGTCGACATGCAAGGTGAGCCTTTTGTAAGCAGAAGCCCAGGGGCAAGAAGTAATCATCTTGTCGGTCAACCACATCCGATACTACCCATCACCGACAGAACGAATAATCTCGAGTCAAGCGTCGAATAACCGAAACGTATTGGAGACTACAGGCAGCGAAGAGAGATCCCGGTGGTCAACCAATCGTCAAGTCGACGGGATATGCAGAAGGGTCTTGGTATACAAGTACCGTCGCGGAACCCTTTCCAAGCACACAGAGCACTCCATCAACCTCAAACGTCACACAACCAATCTGTTTCTCAAATTCTGTTTCCATTATGACGACCCTAAGAAGCTCGCGGAGTGGGACAGCCGGTCCATCCAAGCCCACTCCTTCACCGAATGATCCTCCTCGCAAGTTCTACGGGAATACTCTGCTGAGATTCCTATTACCTGGAATACGAGCACAATATAGAGACGGCTTCTGGTATTGTAAGACTTCGCCTTCAAGATCTTCCGCTCTTTGCTAACGTACCTGCAGGTCGTTGTCTAGACGAGCAAGCTGTTGAGCGCCATTTGAGACCCAGACTCGGGGAACGCGATCGCTCTTGTAAGACATGATACATCCATGCAGCGCTCAAAATCTGACGTAAGCTTAGATTGGACCTGTAGCAAGGGGTATCGTCAGCCGAACAGCTGTGAATTCCATTTTGAGAATCAAGAACTCGAATGGCTAGAGTCGGAATTGAAGAGCGAGGCTTCGAATCGTTCGACAACAGACGATGTACACTTGTCAACGGAACTTCCGCCGACCTCGACTGTGGTATCGGACTCACCCGTCGTCATCGACTCATCGAACGCCTCTCAGGACCCCATCGATCTAACGCGTACGCGAACCGAATCGCCTTTTACCGAATACGACTTTGGTGACATGGATGCACCAACCTCTCCGTCACAACCCTCCGCTACAGATCTTGAAGACCCGGAACGCATGGCGGAAATAGTCGCACTAGCGTCTAAGCTCTCAGGCGAGACCCCTACCAAGAACAAGGCCAAGCTTCCCACTACCGGAAAAGGGAAGAACAAGAGAGCGAGAGCGGATGAAGATGAGGATGAGTATGAGGACGAGAACGATGACGATGACGATGACGAACCCCCACCTGCATACGAGTCGCCGCCAAAGTCCAAGAAGGTCAAAACCACCGTTACGCCCCGGACTGGGAACCCCAAGAACTCCAGGGTCAAGAAGACGCTCTATTGTGTTTTTCGAGGTTACGAGGTTGGAGTGTTCAGAGCTCCTTGGGAACGCTGCAAGCATTTGACGAATAAATGCGGTGGTCAACATCATGAGGGCGCATTCACTTTACAGCACGCAAAAGAGCTATGGGCAGAGAACACTATCGACCCTTTTCCTGAGATCAAGGACTACCCAACAGTGACACTTCAACAATGCGAGACGGGGCAGTTTAAGAGAACAGACGTGAGACCTCGCCCGCCACCCTTCTCTTCAGCCTTACCGTCAGCAACTTCATCATCAACTCCATCATCAACTCCATCATCAACTCCATCATCAACTCCATCATCAACTCCATCATCAACTCCATCATCAACTCCATCATCAACTCCATCATCGGCTCCATCATCGGCTCCGTCATCGACTCCGTCATCGACTCCGGCGACACCCCCGTCAACCTTGCCGTCAACATCATCACTACTTACGGCTGAAGACAAGATGATTCGTTTATTGAGGGCCATCGCCTGTCAGGCGAACTCCGTCTCGGTCACGAACCTCAGGACCAACATTGAGAAGCTCATCAAAAGCTGCAAGGGCTCAATCACCCCAATAGCGTCCGCCAATCTCCAACGGATTGTGAAGGACCAGGAGGGAAGAGTCGCCCTATTGAAGACCAACTACGACGCGGAAGTGCAGTTGCTCCAGGCGAAGCTGCGTACGGCCGAGTGTGATATAGAGGGGTTGAGAGCATTCTCGAAGCTCTTCATCCCCTGAGTACTTTTGCCCTCTTATGCTGGACATTGTTTCCTTCGTTGCGACACATCCCTGACTGTTTTGCCGGCGAAGATCCACCCACTGTATCCCTCATCATCCCACACACTCCTTCACGACTTCCCGATAACGACATCTTCCTTTATGCTCTTACGATTATGACACTGTGTTTGTTTTCTTCTTGAATAGACTTTGCTTGTTTATGGGTGCAAATCTTTTTGGAGTTTGGGGGTTTTGTGGTAACATGTTTGGTACTGGTCGGCAAATGTAGAGAAGTCACATATCTTAGATAGCACAAATCTATACTATTCTTCTCTCATCATCGTTTCTCATACTTCATCGACCTTCGCTCAAGTTTCTTTCTTCTTTGACATTACCATGTCTAGTGGTGAATGAGTGTCAGTTTGCCAGCTCCGCTCTCCCATCGTGTATGCGGAGATGGAGGTAAGAGACCATCGTGAAAGTACATACCTGAACAATGGACATGCCCTCACCGCCATTGGACTACTTACATATGATGGCATGCTGATCGCTGGACAAATTACTTTAGTGGGAGGGAGGCATCATGCGATTAGGTTGTACATTGTGCCACTACGCTATAATACTCACGGGAATCATATGCCAGTCCTCATCTCAATCTTCAGTACAGCCCATCCACCATTCCTCATCCGACTGCGTGCTCGATGAGGCTCTCTTAACAGTCCTAACCGTTCGATGTATCATTATTTTGCTTGCCCTGTAGAGAATGTTGCGTGTAACCCTAAAGATGTCTAAAGACATACTAGGATAGAAGACGTTGTTTTTCCAATCAGCTAACCACTGCGGATCGGTCCAGTTATTGCGCTCATAGAAGAACAGGTCAGTGTCCCAAGAGTCGCCCACGTCCCCATCGAATTTGATACAGGATGTGCCTTCCGTGATATCTTGTACAGTCTTTACACTAAACACTAACTTTTTAGAATTCTAGAACTCTAACTTTTTACTAATATTTTTGCACTAATAAATCTATAGTAGTAGCTTTTAACTACTTTAGCTATCTAAATATTTATACTTATACGTAAATAGTTTAGAATAGCTAATATAGCTATACTTAAGAGTTTACTATACTTAGTATAGTTTTTTTAAACTTAATAAAATAACTCTAAAAGTCTAGCTTATAGAAACTTATATACCTTTAATAAAAGATAATAGTATAAACTTAATTATACTATAGCTTTTATTAGTAAGAGTACGCTATTAAGATACTAAGCTATTTTAGATACTATTTACTAGCGTATTTAGGTAGACTAAAAGACTATAAAAATATACTATAATATTATTTAAGAATTAGCTGTAGCTATTAATAGCTATTTAAATTATTTTACTAACTTTACTTAGCTTTCTATTACTAAAGAACTATAGAAATAAGTATTAAAAGCTATTTACTTATTATTTAACTTCTTACTAGCTTCTAGAAGTAATACTAAAGCCTCTACTAGCCTATTCTACTACTTCTAGATAGATATAGTAAAGACTTTAAAAAATTTTATACTTTTATAAAAAGGCGCTACTAAGATAAAAGTAGTACTAATAGCTAAGCTAGTACTACGCTCTATAGCCTATCTACTACTTATAAATAATTATATTTTTATTACTTTTAGGCTAGTAGTATATATATAATAAGTCTTTCTATTTACTATACGTAAAGCTATTATAAAAGCTATTAGAAATAGAATTACTCTATTTAATATACTCTAGGCTAAGACTATAAAAACTAGTTAGGCTATTATACTTTATAATAAAGATATTAAAGCTTATTTTATAAACTAAAAACTATATAAACTTATAATTAAAGTAGTTAAAGGTAAAAATACTAGACTTTCTAAGCGCTAAGTTAACTATATAGTCTAAGGCGTTAATAGCTACTATAGATTAATTTTAGATAGCTTTATCTCTACTTAACTAAATAAAGTTTATAATAAAGTACTTTTATAAACTAGAGTATAACCTATAAGTATTTAACTATTATAGTATAGTCTCTAGAAGAATAGAAGAATTATATAGATTATTTCTTTCTCTACTTTAGTTTACGCTTTCTATTTATTTAGCTAGAGTAACTATTTAAAGAAAATTTAAAAGAATCTACTTATTTTACTATATAACTCTAGCTATTAAAGGTATTATAAAATTATAAACTATATAAGAGTAGCTTACTATTTTAGATATAGTAAGCTATTAGCTATATATAAAGGCTTAGTTAAAAGCTACTAAAATATACTAAAGTGCTCTAACTACTATAGCCTTTATAAAACTACTTACTTTAATTATTCTATAGCTCTATTATAAGTAAATAGGTAAATAGTATACTTTATAAAAAAAATACTATTAACTATAAAATAGACTAGTTAACGCGTAACTTTAGTAGCTACTATAGCTACTATAAATCTACTAATAAGCGCCTTTAAAGAAACACTTATTAACTTTACTAAGAGTAATATATTTAGGCCTCTAGTATAAAGTACTACTATAGTAGCTACTAATAAAAAAGGCTATTCTAAGAGTATAGCGCTTAGATAGAAATTAATAAGTAAGTCTAAAGCGCTAAAATCTTCTAGACTATAATAATTAGTAGCGCTAATATAAGACTTTAGCCTTTATTAACTCTTTACTAAAAGTATTAGACTTAGAGACTTTAAGTATACTAACTTTTTTTCTATAAAATATATAGACACTAAAATAAGTACTAATTTATACTTATATTAAGATAACTTTTAAATAATAATATAGTAGTAAAACTAGTAATATAATAATAGGCTAAATAGCTATTAGGCTTAAGAGTTAGTGCGCTAGAGAAAGCTAGGTCTAAATAGTGTTTAGACAATAACAACAACTAGATATACATATAATATAATTAACTGCATTAAGTACTTATTTTAATAGAGATACTTCTAATCTCTCTACTATATATAGTAACTAACTAAAACTTAATCTATATAGCCTTCTACCTTAAGAAAGCTACGCGCTACCTTTAAGTGCGCATTTTACCTACTAAAGGCTTGTTAGAACAATAGTTTAACTAGGCTTTAGAAAAGAAGAAACGTAATTATTACACAATATAATAAAATAAGTAATAAGTAAGTATATAAAATAGAGAATAAGATAATACGTAGAATAGTATACCTAAAAAACGCGTAGAAGCAAACTGTAAGCTATAGAAACCTAACTATACAGACACCTAAAAAGTAGGCGCACTAGAAGACCTCTAATAATATAAATAATTAGATAATAATAACTACTACTTAGGCTAATAGATAATATAGCTGTAGTAGCGCTGCGCTAAGTAATAAGAAGAGCTAGATAAGAGGTTTAGACTAGGCTAATTGCTCTTTAGATAGCTACATAGATAGAAAATAATATAATAGAAAGTATATAGCTATATTATTCTACTAAGAAGAAATAATAAGACTTAAGAAAGGTTAGAAGAGCTAACGTAGTAGATCTTAATTCTAGTATAGCTAGAAAAGAAGAGGCTAAATAATAAAATAGTAGTAGAAAGCTATTATAGTATATAAAAAAGGTAGTAATAGCTCTTCTAGTAAAGAACACTTAACTTTGTTAGTAAGTAAATAGTTAAACCTAATTAATAGCACTTATATATTTAATATTTACACTAGCTATTATACTATTTACAATACTTATATACTACTTTATATAAATAAGTAAGAGTTAATCTAATAAAGCTAAAGTTAATAAATAATCTAAGTTAGTTGCTAAAGCCCCTTTAAAAGCCTAGTTTACTAAATAACTATCTTTACCTCTCTAAACTAAGCCTATAAAGTCTAAAGTAACACTTATATTATTCTAGAAGAATATTAAAATACTAGATATTCTAGAGTTCTTAGGCACTGCTAGCTAGTAGCCTTAGGTATAACCTCTAGTATAACTCTAAAATAATAATATAGTAAAGCTTCTTTAGATAATAGCTTAGTCTCTCTAGTAGCTAGGCAATTACTCTCTAGTCTATTCTACCTAGCTTCTCTTATACCTATTAGAGATAGTTCTAGTGTTTAATAGAACTAATGTTACTACATTTCTTAAGCGTTTTAAGAATATATTAAAGTATTATAAGTTTATAGATAAGATAAAGATTAATTACCTTTTAGTATACTATAAATCTAAGTAGAGAGTAATTATCTAAGCCTTAAATAAATATTCTAACGCTCTAGTTACTAAATTCTAGAAGAAGTTTAGAGAGGCTCTTAGAAAGCTCTTTTGTACTAATAACAAAGACTAACAAAAAGCTTAGGCTAAGTACTTTAAACACTAGCTTCTCTAGTACTAAGTAAGGTCTAATCTAAATATTAAGGAGTATCTATAGAAGTTTTAGATTTATAGTAAGCGCTATATTAAAGTATTAACTATTAATAAAGATTACTAAGGTTTCTATCTAGTTAAGAGACTACTCTTTAGGCATACTATAAAGATACTTAATAAGTTTAGTTTAAAGACTAATAACCTAAAGGCATTTAACTATACTAAAATTAGTAACTACCTTACTACCTATCTAGAAGTAGAGAAAGAAGCTTATATGCTTAACCTCTCTAAAGTAGTTAAAGAGATTATTTTAGAAGTTAAATTTAACCTAGCGCAGCTAATAGCCTATTAGTAACCTTAGTAACTAGCACTAACTCTCTAAGATAACTACACGCAGGCTTTTTAGCTACTTAAGCTTAACATTCTACTCTAAGATAAGCTACTTAGGCTCTATACCTTCTAGTCTTCTCTAGAAAAAGCACCTACTAATATAGAGGTAGATAACTTAGTTAATAAAATACTTAATCTAAAGATTAATTATACTAGCCTAGAGATAGAACTATAGAAGATCTAGTAGACCTACTGTAAAACTAAACTTATAAACAACTCTAATATACGTAGTAAAGTAGACTATTAAGCTAATAAACGCGCGAACTACCTTAGAGCGTACCTACTCTAAGGCTAGAGGCAATTCTAGCTAAATAACTAGT